CCCGGATCTACCATTTTGAGTTCCAAAGAAGATGAGCAGGAGGGGACGACGCCGGGTTGCGGCCGTCGAAGTGGGGGATCATCTAGACTCTTCCCAAATTCCATTTTTCTACCATTTCATTGAATCCTAGTGGTGGTGGGCGTGGTTGCATCCGAACACGACGACGTGGACAGAGCTCCCAACATTTTCCGACCCATTTTTTGCGCCTATAGGTTGCTGGAACGGGGATTTGCTACCATTTGATTGATCCTTTAGAAGGTAGCAGTGACGCGGAACGTTGCTGGGGGCGTATTTTCGCGGTTGAGCTCTGCAATTCGCCTAGCCAAATCGAAATTACCATTTGAGTGGTTAGAGATGCGCCTGATTGCTGTGCAAGCCAGGGGTCCGCGCGAAGACTCGAACCGAATATCGGACCTGTAAATACCAAAAAAGAGCGCAAAGTACCGGGGTTATGAATCCTGATAGCGCTTGGAAGGGGGCGAGTACCAATTTTCGGACCTGTAAATACCAAGGAAAAGCTTAAAGTACCGGATTTAAGAGATCCACATAACGCTCGCAGAAGGACAACCAATTTTCGCATCTGTAAGAACAAAGAAAGCCGCTAAATTACCATTTTTTATGACTGGAGAAGACGTACGCGACCTAACCTTAGCCAGACACGATTCGGATCTGTAAGTAAAAAGGAATAACCTTAAATTACCATGGGATAATCCCGAGAAGTTGAAAGCGCCGCGGTTCGCTGCGCATTTTTCTAAAAAAAAGTCCGCACAACACACTCTTACGTATGTCCTAAAATCCTAAGCCAATTGCTGTCCCAACATTTCGAACTCATTTTTCGCCATCTAAATACCAAAGAAAATTCCTTAAATTACTAGTTCTCCGTGTGATGTTGGCTCCGGTAAATCCGCTGCTCAATCCCTGATCCGTATCTAGGAAACCTTGGCGCTAGTTAAATTACCATTTTCCCTAAAAGACGCCGCTGCATTACAGTATACCAGTCCGTGCCCGGATCTGAAAATTGGGGCGCAAAGCCGAAAATTACTTTTCATAAGTGCGGCGGGGTGCTGAAGGCGTTCGCGTGGGTCCCCTGTCTCTCGTTTTAGACATCTGAATTTTCCTAACGACCAAAAAAAATACGGATTAATTTTTCGCAGAGTTGCTGACCAAGGGGCAGTTAATCGAGTTCTAAATTCCAATGGCTGGCGTTAAATTAACCTTTAGGATATTCCAGTCCCCGATTGATGTTCCAAGTTTTCCAGTTAAACTAAAAGTTTAGAGCGGGAGTTTCTAAAATAATTTAAGCAAAATAAATAATACTATAAAGCTTCGATCCGATATGCCGTTTCCATAAATACCCGTATGCAAAGACCCGACTGCTGAAGTTGTACCCGTTCTCTAAAAAAATTTGACACACGCTACAAAAAGGGCATTTCATGCCGTAAGCAAACCCGTTTATGCATAGGTTACCCGTTAGTTGAAAGCGCATTCAAATCCCAAAAGTATTTCGAAAGTTTTGTTATCATAGCAAAGTTTCATCATCTCTCAGAGCACAACCCGTCCTACAGTAAGCGGCCGTCCCGTGGTGCGGCGTATTGATCGCGTCACATGTCCCCAGAGGCGCGCGTGGCTGTCGCGTGGCGGCTACCGTAGTCTCCCTCTCCCCGGGGTCTCGGCACGCGCTACCGTAGCCCCATCTTTCCCCGGCCTAAAGGAGGCCTAAAAATGTACGTTTTCGATCGCGTGGGTCAAATTTTTTCGCCAAAACGGCGGGACCTGCAAATTTTTTCGCGACGTTTTTTTGAGAAGACCTACGAGAGGCTGAATGTTTTAACTTATTTTTGGTACGTGTCGTATTATGTGATCCATAGGAGACGAGGCTCGAGAAGTACAGGGGGGAGATCGTTTATAGACTCTTCTAGCCGTTGCCAACTGACTCTCCACATCCGAATGTATATGCAAATTGTTTAGGGTTAGAAAAGGCCGGGCGGGCACCGCAGTGCACACACCCAAACAGGATACCTTACAAGACATACCAAGTGTATACCAGAAGATGGGGAACGCAACGCGTGATCGCAAAAAGGAGCGGCGCCCGCGAGGAAACGCTGTGCTGCTAGAAAAAGGGGTCGAAACCCAAAACGGCACCTGAAGCTCGACAATTTTTCGCTTTCAGGGCCACACAGCGCGCGGGTGGGCCAGTTTTCGAGGAATCTTTGCATAAGGGGGCGAATCTGCAAAAAATCAACGCCAAAACGGCACACCTATTCCATCAAAAGAGCGATTTTCCATATTGGAGATGTTCGGAGGAGATCACGGGGGAGTGTGGGAGACATCATCAAATCTAGGATATTCAGGGCAGAGCGTCAAAATTGCTTGTTTTTCGGTGAGTTTCCGGGTCCTTAGAGGTGGCGCTGCGAGTGGACGAGAGGCGTCCTCTACACACGGCTATAGGTCCCGGGGATCACGCAGCAAGGCCCAATCGACGGTGCTCGGGGTACTGTACTCGCGACTTTTTCCTTATTTGACCACAGAGAACGTCTTTAGCATGGATCACCGAGGGGGACACCTGGAATACCGGCTCTAGATTTTGGTTGGCTGAAAAAAACATACGGGCTACTGGTCAGGGTGGTTAGTGCTAGTTGCGAAAGAAGATAAAGGTCATACGGCCGTTACGAAAGTATGACGAAATATTTTTTAAAGTTTCGAAACTAATTTGCGAAATTGTCCAGAGACAAGGTGCGCTTAAGTCAAAAAGCTCTGTCAATCTATAGCTTAAGAATCCAAAGCTATGCCTTAAATCATCCAATTTCCAACTAAAGTACAAAAACACTAATAAAAGTTGCGTTCTATACGTCAAAAGCCTTAAAATGGTTTTGGAACACGAAAATCAGAAGCTTAACATATTTCCTTACTATTGATACCCCTAAAAAATCCCTAGCAACCGTATGACCAATTTCGAATCTCAAAAACCCTACAGAAAAGTCATGCACAACTATACCGAGTTTCATATAACTGACCTTAACTAAACTCGCAGCTACATCCCAATAACGATTGGTACCGTCTCGCATCAATTGCAATCAGATTTTTCCACGATCTTCATACAGGGAGGGTCAGGAGAAGTCATTCAGAGAATCCATTTTCGCCATAACCGCTAGTGTGTTTGCACCATTTAAGCCAGTCACTGGGGCGGCGAGGGGCGGGAGAAGGGGCGTCCAGGGAAGTGTAGCGGACGCGCACGCAGCTCCCAACACACGCACTCGCCAAGTCACAGAAGCCGGTATGGCCGCGAAGTCAGGGACCGGATCGTCAGTCAAAGTAGTCCAACGGACGCATTCCCCAATGTCATGAACTCATCTAGGAACTTCTAGGGAGTGGGACCCGGCCCAGTTACAAAAATTATTACTACATGAATAAACGAGGAACCGTGGCAAGAATTGCCGTAAAGGAGCAAACCGACCGTATACCAGCATGATGTGGATGGGGGTGGGGGGTGACGCAGGAAGCAGGCAATAGGTATGTGGAACTGGGGGACAAGTCGCCTTTTATACCCAAGGACAGGCACGCCCACATTCGGGGCTAGAGGGCAGAGTATTGATGTGGAGGGGCGGGGCAGACACGCAGACACCACTACCCCTCCCGCAAAATCAATGGAAGAGAGATCGGGATGGTCCCGGAGAGCCGAGAACGTTCGAGAACACCCGCGATTTTCGGAATAGCGCCCAAAAGACACTTTCGTAACAGGCCGGGGGCGAGTGGGGGATATTCGAAAACATCGTATTTTCGGAATACGGCCCCCGCCTGAAAAATAAGAGGCCGCCCGGGGGCTTCTAGAAGCCGTCGCCCGGTCAATTAGATGGATTCGTAGAATGGGCGTTTGGTGAAAACAATCAAATCCTCTGGGGCATACATCGTTTTTGCAGGGATTATCGTATAGAAATAAGTTTATGGATGTTTGGAGTGAATAACAAGAATCATAGCTTCTTTTTAAATAAATGTACCAAGTCACACCAAAATTTGTAGGTTTGATGGCCAAACTCAGAAGTGGTTGGTACCCGTTAAAAGCAACCGTTCTAGGAGCTGAAACAAAGCGGAGGATTCAGCAAATATAGATAACAAATAAAATTAAATGGAACTTATGTCAAAACCGAGAAAAGGTCAGAAATTGGTTATAAATGATAGAATATGCACCATTTTTTCATAATTACCGAAACTCGCAGTTAGAATAAATTGATGGATTATCGCAAAAAAAACTATCATGAAAACAATTTTTCCTCAGGCCGGAAATAAGCAGGAGGCAACGGCGGCCTGAGGAAAATGACACGTACCGGGGGCTAATAATAGATAGAGGTGTTTCAAAAAACCGTAGAGAATTCTGAGAAGTAAAATGAACAAAATCTAGTTTCCTCGACCCTAATATACTTGCAGCGACTTGTTGCGCAAGCTTACATACATAAAAGTTTTGTTTCGAAACAATTTTCGTATAGTATTGCATCAGAGATTCGAAAGCCTTGTGGCAGAGTATGCAGCTTTCTCTCTCTCTCTCTCTCTCTCTCTCTCTTTCTCTCTCTCTCTCTCTCCTCTTATCTTCTTCTCTCGCTATCACTATACGTATGTCCGGGGGTGATGAGTCATCTCTGTCATGATACCGTAGTTTCGTATCTTTTGCATCCCACCCAAGCCTGTCGTTTTCTATTGCGATCTCTCTTGTCCAATCAATCGGGTTGCAACAAAACCAAAACTTCTAAAGCTTTATCCGTGAATAGAATACGTACACACATTTCATCACAAGTTGTCAGTGGGGAGGAGATCGGAATAAATTGTCAGTGGACCAGGCGGAGGTTTGTACGGGGAAAAGCGTTCGACGAGATGCAATAGGAGGAATGGTGAAACATTGTTTCTACATGTTATATACAAAAGATAACAAATTATAGTGGTAATAAGACTAGGTATACAGTGAGAAAACAATTAAAAAATGGAAGTTCCCGGGTCAAGTCGTTGGTTTAGATGGCTTGCTGAAAAAAAAGATTTGTTACTGGGTTTTTAAAAGAAATAGCGTCACGTTTTGCTTAAATATTCTCATAGGATAAGTAAATTAATAATCTTGACTTAATTGGGGATTAAATGATTAATTATTATTCCGGAAACAAACCTTATTAGCTGGGGAAAACGAGATTCTGGAAGCGAGACGAGCCGATAGGTGTGTCATTTTAGGAACTTCTTCTGGCTCAGGATCGCTGAAAATTATCGCATAAGAATTGTCTTATCATGTCTGCTTGAGTCCAATAATCAAGAATTTAACCTACCGCTCATCCTCGACATCACTTGGCGGCTCGTTCTCGTTCTCGTCGCCTTCATCGTTTTCGGCGGATGGTTGCCAATCCTCTTCGGCGTCGTCGTTCATAATCTGAAAAATGGCAAAAGTAATGTCAGGGAATCATAAGCTAAAGCTAAATTAAAGGCTACTAAACAGGATAATATCAATAAGTTTCTACAAACCTTGCTCCAATCCTCCGTCGCCAGCTTGTCGTACAGGTCGCAGAGTTGCGTGAGGCTTTGCGGTTCCCCTGAAGAGGGCTGAACATCTTTCACCGGAACCACAGGCTCTTCTTCCTCTTCTGTAAGCTCAGGATCCTCCCACTTAACTTCAACGATGTGTGGCTCCTGAAAATAATTTGTTGATTTTCTTTGCTTATGTTCATAAATTTCTTGGCTGCATTTGCTCATAAATAAGACAATTCCTACCTTGTCAAACTCTGGAGAAGAATTAACCGAATCTGGTGTAGATCCCGAAAGATCGGACCGAATATCGATACCCCGAGGCTTCCAGGCATTCCGCGAGCGTTCAGAGTAGCGAGTCGACACCGAGAAGTTTGATCTCCGATCGTCCTCGTCAAACTCGGAACGCCTCGATTGAGGTGCCATCCATTTTCTGGGCTCTTGGCGGTGCCGTGGGACGTCCATGCTGCGACGTGTGTTGTTGGCAGGGTTTCTGAAATGTCAAACGTTTTTTCTGAGGGCTGTAATTGGTCCTACCTGCTGGTCAAACATCTATCATCATGGCCAAAGGCTGGGTTTTGGCGCGGCGGGGCTCGTTGGTTTTGGCGAGCGTCGTGGGCGTAGGGGATGTTTTGGGGAGCCTCTTCTGAAAAATTTAAGTAATGGCCAAATCAGAATTGATGAATTTTGATTAGAAAAATTGCATGAGGAAAAGCATCAAAACCTACCGTTTGGAGCTTGACTGGAAGGCAAAAACGAGATGCGGGATCGAATTCCTGTTCCGAGAGCTGTAGGTACAAGGCGAGGAGCAACTTTTTCGGATGTTGAATCTGTAACTGACCGTCTTTTAATATCTTGAACTGTGCTATATACTGGCATTACTTGTTACAGGTGCTGTACGTTGTTGGTATTACATACCCTGGTGAATCCTGGGGCTGTTTCCATAAGATGTTCGCTTCCGGGTATCATTTGTCGGCACGGTGTTCTGAGGTTTTGCCGGAGCTTCAGCTGTGATATCAACACCACGACGCATCATCCCGGGGCGATAGATCTTAAAAAAATGGTCCTGAACAAAAAAGGAGCAACACAGTGGTATGATTGATTATTTTATTCAAGCCCCCACCTGAATCTCGGCACGCTTGGTCTTCGCCGACTTTTCCACATTCTTCTGTGTAGCGCATTCGACAGCCATTTTCTGTCTGAAATTTTTCGATTGAGCAATTGGCTTGGCGATTGGCCGGGGTCGAATGAAAAATGCGAAAAATTGAGCAGGGCGCCATTCGGGCTCATGGCAGAACTGTCAGGAAAATATTTGTTAGAAGCAAACATTGGCCAAGTGGGTTCATGTGGGAAAAAGCGGGGTCGTTTTAGGAAAAAGTTGGTTCAAAGATAGGTTAGTATTGAAGAGGGTGGAGATGATAAGATAAGCGGAGGGGCGATGTATGCATTAAGGGAAATGAAGGGGTTAGATCAGATTGAAATTGAAATTAGCATGGTCAGACCTGTGTTTCTGGCAGAAAATCTTACATATATTAATAATGCGTATATCTAAATTCCTATATTATAAGTGAAAACGCGCATCTTAAAGAAAATGCTTTCAAAATTCAAATTTGTAGACCCTGACCTCTCAAAGTTTTCTAGGCGTTATTACTTGCGTAACAAGACGTAACCTTTCACCTTTCGACAGAATATATAAAATTAACCCTATTATAATGTGTTTACATATCACAACCCACTTTGTAAGTGCGCATCGATTGGATATTGAGTTACGAAACGAAATCCGCGGGGAGGCCCACCCGGCTGCGTCACGTGCTGTTGCCAAGAAAGGAGTGGATGGGGGCAGTGGGGCGAGGCCGAATATTCGGTGGTGAAATTCATTGCACAGCCTGGAGAGCCCGGGGTTTTTATGAATTCATAAAAAGGGAATGATAATGAGGAACGGATTTTTTTTTGGAAATAAATTAATTGCCATCCATTCATGGGACATCTCAAGGGGCGAATTCTTCTTCTTGGAAGCGAATATTTTTTTGAGAAGAATACGCGATAGAAATTGGCATCAAAAAGGTCATAAAAATTGCTTAAATTATGATTATTTATAATTTTAAACCCGGAAACGTATTTTAAGGGACATAGAAGGTAATCGAAGAATGCAGCATTTTTGGCGATATATTTTCTAAAGCTTGGTAGCGCACGCGAGCCGTTCGACCACAGAACGCATAGACATTGATATGGAGAAGACATGATTTAAATAAAATTATTAAAATTTTTTTAATTAATAACCATCAAACATAAGAGTGCGTATATTAATCGGCCATTTAACCCGGAAAAATGATGCCATTGAACGCCCACACATGCAATCGACTAGCTTTGTGATGCAATCTTATGACTTTTTCATTCGATACGAATAAGGTAACAACAAAAACTATGGCAACAGCAAGTAACAACCCCGTGGCCAAAATTCAATTATTCACACAGCGGGATGACTGGGTGGTGTTGCCTGGCTGCTCCTTCCGCGAGGTCATAAGACGGCTGAAACGGGGGATGGAAGGAGGGTCATATGTTTGTGTCAACCCCCGGCTGATGGGCTCAAAAACAGCAGCCACCCTTCTCGTTTCACGGCTTCACCGGGCTAGATTAGACCCTTTTTTCAGGGGTCCGGGACCCCCAAAGCCCCATGACCTTATCGCGGACAGGCATCGGCCCGAACAATTAATCCAGAGGAAAATATCATGAAAAAGTGGCTTTTAGCAGGGAGGGAAAGCAGAAAAAGTGAATAGATTTTTAGAAAAACTACATAAAAATCGTAAGGTACTGTAGGAAGCGAAGAGATCTAATTTTTAAAATTACGACGCTTAATTTAAAACTACTTTACCTTAAAAATCAATATATATATATATATATATATATATATATATATATATTATATATATATATATATATATATATATATAATATATTCAGGGTGAGACAGGAGGAGATAAAATTCAGAACCCAGGAGCCCGAGAGCAAACTCCTAGAAACTCCTAGACCCTAGACCCCTTTTTGTGAAAATCGAGGCCCGCGTGATCTTTATCTCCTGAAAAGACCCCAACGACGCGTTTTCCCTCCCCCAAACCCCGAAAAAAAAGATAAAAAACGAGAAAAATCCCCCCAGCCCACTCGGTGTCACTGTCTCGACGGTGGGTCGAATGACGTGTTATTATTATCCGGACTGCCATATGTGTACGAACACGCCCAGAGAAGGCAATTTCGCGAATTGATCGCCTACCGTGGATCGAACAACATCCACCTTTTTCGGGCGGCTTTTGTGTGATGGCTAAATTGAGATTGGGATTCGGTGACCACAAATGAAGCCTGGGTTGCTAGGCGACATTTGTGCATTTTGAGGAAAACAGGTTTGACCTCGGATGCAGCAGAAACACAAGAGGATGCTAAAAACGGAATTTGTTCAAGGTGTTCAATGCACAAATAGGAAAACGAACGACTGAAAGTAATGGGTTTCCGAAATACAAAAACAAAATCACTCGATGAATTGTACAAAGGTCAATACGCCGGTTACAACTTTTTCTAAGATTCGACGATTGGTTTCATATATAATTTTTCAAGAGGCCACTGGCCAAGTGAAATCCCGGTTCCGGTTGTCCAAAAATATTGTCGATCCTATGCTAGTTATAGCTATGAGCTTCAACGTACCCTATCGTACTTCAACGCATTTCGACACTTTATCGCCTGTTAGGCCATTTTCTGTGTTGTTTCGCCCGCCAAAACCAACAAAATTGGAAAATGCTTTTTTTAAACAATCGAGGCGAGATTACGATCTGATCGGTTCAAGCACACTATCCTGGTCCTCCGTTCCTCTCAGGTAGGCACGATTTTTCGGTTTAGACGCAACGATCGATCCCCTGCTTGCCCCATTGCAATCGCAGGGCATTTTTCCATTCAAAATTACAGTATTTACTTTATCACCTTTTCATTTAATTTTATAAATTTTCAAAATTTCTTTTGAAGCATGGATGAGCATCGATTCAACGACCATTGAACCATATGATGCTTAATGTAGCTCGATAGGACCCCAGCTCGACTTGACATTCTAGTGTTTAGACTGAGTGCTGTGATTGCGACGACTGCCACCCCCCGGTCCTTAGCTACCATGAGGTGAGTTTCCATATTTTTCTATGATAATAGTGTGATTTGCCTAGGACGAAGAGTATGGACCGGATGATGGTAGAGTGCCGATAACAATACTTTCATATCATTCGGAGTTCGATAGTGCTCGGACGATCTGCGCACCCCCTGGGAGGCAGTCATTTTGTAGGTCTTTGAGCTTGATGCCTGTCCTGGTATGGCCTTCCATAATAAAAACGCGTCAGTATTAGTAGAATACCGGGGAGCACAAGCTTTTCTGGAACCCGACTGACGGGTGGGGCCCTATTCCGTACTGGGTATGCACTCTAGGCGCCCATCCTTCAAACTAGAGTTGTTATAACTCAAACAAAACAAGGCCTCAAACAATCTTGTTTGAACAACGTTGTTTGATAGGATTTTTGGAGATTCAAATCAAACATGTTTTGTTTGAGATGACCGTTGATCGCTCAAACAAAACAAGATTGTTTGAACTATTTGAGCAGTTTGAGTTTTGTTTGACCTTGTTTGAAATGTATGCTAATTTTGGATTTAAAGTGTGATTTTTCAGCATTTTCGCAATTTGCATAAATTTTTCCGATAAAATTTGTTTTAGAATGTTTGAATTCGCTTCCGATCCATCAAAAATCCCCCAAAAATCTCACAGTTTAGGATGTTCAAACAAGTTCAAACAAGTCAAACAATCTTGTTTGATTTGATCCCCTGGAACTCAAGTCAAACAAGGCTGTTTTGTTTGAAACTTTTCGAGCTCAAACAAAGCAAACTTGTTTGAGTTGTTTGAATAATTTGTTGTTTGTTGTTTGAGTTATAACAACTCTACTTCAAACGGCGGGCCAGATTTAAATCTATGTTTCCAAGCCCGTGCAAAATTTAGAGAATTTCAGGGTCGACAATGTCAAGATCCAAATCTACTCCTTTCGATGAAACAACATTGGATCCCACTCCCCAGTAGGTAGGCCGCTGTTTTTCATTGAGCCGCATTAGCGTTTGCCCCTGATTTGAACAGAGCCCCGTTACACGAACCTTAAAGGAATCTCTAGCATGGACGCCAATTCATTCAATCCGGAGTTGCTGCCGATGGTACAGGTGGGTAATTAGGAAAAACCAGGGTTGAAAAGCCGATTCGCGACTTTTCTACCCTGGCCCCGTCTGATCTCACGATATACTTAAAAGGCCGTTTGCGAGAGGACCGAACAATGCTTGGCACAGTTTTTTTCAACCTTGTTTTTTTGACGGCATCGGAAAGAGCATAGTCGAATTAGTAGGGCTGCATAGTTTTGAAAGTTTAAAAAGTTAATTTTTAGGGTTTAAATTGGAGTCGAAGTTGCCGACCCTCAAAAATTATCTCGAAAGTTACTAAACCAAATTGGCTGAAAATTTGTAACAGTACCTAATTTGGCATGCTGATCATTTCTCTAATACATCGGAAAGCACGAAAATGAGCGGAACATGGTTAAATCGCGTACCCAAAACAGTTTTTCAGGGTTTTGTATTTTACGGGTTCTTGGCGGTCCGTTGAAAATACCCTTAAAAAAATGCGCAAAAAAATTCTACATCGAATGAGGTATTTTATACCGGGCCGACAGAAACCCTACTCTTGCTATAACGCATTTACTGCGCGCAAAACAGCCCCCAAAGTGGGTCAAAAACCTCAAAAATGACAAATTTGGAAATCGAATATATCAAACCATATCTAGAGAACGAGCTGAATCCATTGCAAAAAAGAGCAAAAAGAAATATTGCTTTTGAAGGGGGGCTGGGATCGAACTGGCGCGGCCCTTGGATTGGTGGGCGAGCACTCATGCAATCCACCACGGCCCCAGGGAGGGCTTTCAGGCGAAGGGTCCGAGTTCGATTCCTCCCCGGATCTCAGCCCCCCTTCAAAAGCAATATTTCTTTTTGCTCTTTTTTGCAATGGATTCAGCTCGTTCTCTAGATATGGTTTGATATATTCGATTTCCAAATTTGTCATGTCGACTATGCTCTTTCCGATGCCGTCAAAAAAACAGGGTCGAAAAAAACTGTGCCAAGGCATATTGGGGTCTGTTCGGGTGGCTCGCGGATGGCCTTTTAACCTTGCATAATGTTTGGATTTCCGATGACAAAAAATGAAAATGGCGCTCTCTGCCCGATGATATAGGCTAGCGGAACTTCCGGCGCATGCCAATCCTACTATATATAAAAAAATAGTGTTTGTGTGTGTGTGTGTGTGTATATTTGCATGCACTTCCGTTAGGATGTTCCGCTCCTACAGCCTCGGGGAAGGGTTTTTTGAATAGGGAAGAAACGACAATAGGTTTAGAATGGTCCGGAATCGACTGCACACACATAAAAATTTTGAAAAATTGCGGTTTTCGCTATTAAAAATAGGTTTTTGTAAAAGCCTGTTTGTTAGGGGAAATTAGCATGCGCCGGAAGTAGGAAGAGCCTATATAAAGGGACAGAGAAGCCGTTTTTCACTTTTTTTTCTTGCTAGAATTCAGGAAGAAACATGTAAATTCAGGACTTTCACAGGTTCTGGACGGGGCCAGGGTTGAAAAGCCGCGAAGCGGTTTTTCAACGCTGGTCTTTTCCTAACAAAGAAGGTCGCCCATTTTTTAGCAAAAACCTAAATTTAATGTCGAAAATAGGCAATTTTGATAAATCTGATATGTGTGCAGTCATCCCTAGACCATTACGCACCTAATGACGTGTCATACCTTGTTGAGGGGGGGGGGTTTGGGGTCCCCCGGGGGCCCTCCCGGGCGAAAGGGGGGGCGGGGGTTAGGAATGGGGAGAACCCCCCCCCCCCCTCTTTTATTTAAGGAAAAAAAAAAATAAAATTAAATTTAATTAAATAAAAAAAAATTAAAATTTTTATATTTTTTTGTTTGTTGGTGGTTTTTTTTCCGACTTAAACGGGAGGGGGGGGGGGGTGTTTTCTTTTCTTTCCTTGGGGGGGGAGTTTGGGGAGAGAAAGAGAAAAACGAGAAAAACAAAAATTTATACCCTAAAACTACTCCATTCTCGAGATTATATTTTGACTAAACTCCAGATACCCCCCCAGGTGACCACCACCTACCGTATCTCGTCTTTCTGTTCATCTACAGGTGTGTAAAGTATACCAAATACTGGCCACAGCATGGCGAACATTTTCGTATACTTTACACACCTGTAGATAAACAGGGAGCCGAGATACAACAGTTGGGTGCCGGCTGGGGGGGGTTATCTGGATTATCTTATCTATTTTTTCGATGCCAGCCTGTGGGGCCAGAAGCCATTGTCCTTGAGCATGGGAATGAGCTTGGCGCTGATCCCGAAGATGACGTCGCCAATGAGCCTGGGGTAATCTTATTAAACCGCTGCATAACTTAACTCTCTTCCCTAGGACGATTCGGAGGATTGGAACGAGGGTGAGGAGGAGCTTGACGGTCAACTCCCGATCCTGATACCGTGGCACGATTCCGAAGTGGAAAACGCGGTACGGCTGGATGGAGTCCCGGAAGGCTCCTATGTGGTGAGTTGCTGCAAAATTTTGTTCCAATCCCTGTCTAATCATGTGTGTACTCTGGCTTATCCACATTTCTTTAAAGTAATTTTTCCCAAAGCTCGTTTTGTGAAGAGGCATGCACTCCTTAATTCTGAAAAAGATAATTTTTGCTGTTTAAATATGCTAAAATGCTTCCCATCTTTGAGTTTTGCTTTCAATATTGCTGATCTTTTTCCAAAGATACGACTCGATACTGCGCATACCCCTATTATCAATATTCATGCTAATAAAAAGAATCGGTTCAGCCTTTCAGCATACTGCAGAAGCTAGGTCATTTCGGCATCCAGACGGTTTTAGGAAAAATCCCTTTTAAAATTATTATAGGAAATTAAATTAATTTTTGTAGTACTTCTTAGGCTTCCCTAATCTAGTTTATCCGGACGTTCTAGGTGTACCAGTGGCTACACGAGAAGGCGCTGCTCATCAGAATCGACGATCCAAAGCAGCGGTGAAAGAGGGTTATCAGGATCCAATTTTTAAGCGACGCTCGGGATGCGGTGTCTCTCACTTGTTGTTGAACTCATATTACGACCTCGCTCTGTTATCTTGTTTTGAATAAAGCTCAAGCATAATATGGGTCGTTGCGCACGCAAACTACTTCCAACTTTCTACTTCGAAAGCTTTTGAGCCAGCCACCTCAAGGGTCGATATGTTCTTTACAACTTCTCCAAGGTGCGTTATTTTAAAACGCGTTTACAATTCACTAACATCACACGAGTTCTCTGAAATCGGGCGACGGCATTCATCAGAGGCAGAACAATTATTAGACAGGCTGAATAGATACTGGTTAAAGCATAATTCAATTATTGCGCTGCGCAGAGGGTTGCCCAGTGCATAAATTTGCAGAAAATAAATACAGCGGAAAAGGAAAGGGATTGCAGGGAGGTGAACTCGAAAGAAACCATTTTCCAAAGTAAAAATTCAAAACTAAAGTCGCAACGCATACAAAAAAAAACCCATCAGCGAGGGTTTTATAATTAGTCTTTTTGCATAGAATGCATTTTTCGAAAATGATACAATCCTCAAGCGAGACTCCGATCGGTCATCGGGGTCGCCTCGGTCTCGGTTACGCATTTTTCGACCAAGGCTTGTCGGGCTCGTTTTGTGCTCGGGAGTCCATCGACGATTTTGTGGCCCCAGGCACACATTTGGCGGAAGAATAGATATCCAGCAACTGTAAATTGATTGAATTAAACAAGGATTATGGAGATAGATTTACACAAAATTGCTGCTGCAATAGCGACGAGGATCCAGGACGGCCCACTTGCTAGGAAGCCAATTAGGGCCACAGCGTCGAGAACGTAGACAAGCATAGCCAACGCCTATAGAAATATTATGGACATTGAAAAGCGTGTCCCTTCTGATAGAGCCCAAAAATTCCTTTAATGTTACCGTACCTGTCGATGGAAATGCGTCCCAATCAGGCTGCCAAGTGGCGCCATCACCGTACACACCGGCACCACGCAAAATGTATATTCCCAGGCCTCTTGAGTAATATCAAAATAGTACGCTGCGCGAATGTAGAAGCCAACGACCGTGTTGAGACCTGACAACAACATTCATATTTATGCTATCAAATTTTTTAGCCACAATCAAATACCTACCCATCAAAACCACTGTTGTGGGTGTTGCGATCTTTTCGGAAATCCTGAATAGCGAGGTCAAAATTGCGAAAATTGAAACATCGACACCACTTCCAGTCATGGCCGTAAAAATACCTAAAACTATTGTTAATTTATGCAAATTCCGTTTTTCACCTCCTATCATGCCACCCAAGATCAATATAAACGCCTTCCAGGGCTTGAAATCTGGGATTTTTGTGTAGGTCACGCGTTTCTTTTCTGAAATAAAACAATGCTCAAATGGGGGTTATCTAGCGCAAACTAACCAGCATTCAGCAGAAATAGAGCGATTGCAAAAGATCCCCAAATTGACACGAACAACATTTTTTTCGTTGCGCCGTCCATTAGGGAATCGATCTTAAAACGGAGGTATTTTTGTGAAGTTATACTTCGTACTAATTATTCAAGCTTAACCCCCCTATGGCTTACCCAAAATCCAATCCAAAATCCTGGAAATGCTCCAATCGTTCCGAAAAGTACAGCTCGAGTTTCGATCACCACTCCGGAGAGCAGGATAACAGCTACCGAGGAAGTCATTCCTAAATGTAATATTCGTTATCGTGCAATATTGGCCACCAAATTAGTATACACTTTATCTCGTGGCCTACCAGCGCTCTGGCACATCATTGAGAAATCACGAGAAACCCCGGTGTCGATCTTCAACCAAATTGACATGATCGGGAAGAACACGGCGCCGGCTCCCTCGCTAGTCATTCCTAGATTTGACGATTTTTTAATAAAGTCTTTCATTAATTGAGTGAATGCTTCTATAAAAAAGCATACCAGCCACTGTACAAGCCAAAAACGCCGTCAGTATCACCGGCCAGGTGTGAGCGTACAGCGAGAAAAAGTCGTGTCGAAATGCTGCCGTTAGCCATAGAGCCTAAATTAATACCGTTTATTGGTTAGATACCTATATAACTTACATACCAAACCGTCACTGGAACTGCTAACGCGCAATATTTGCGGTATTTCGTCAGGAAATGATCGATGGCGCTGTCGGCGGCTTCGACTTCCTGTTCATCCTCGCAGCGGAGTTGGCCTGAAATTTAAAGGTAACCAACCTAATAGGCATGGGAAATACCTAGTTTTCTGGGTTTTTTACACAGGAAACAGTTATATTCTGAAAACTAAAATTAACTCACCTTCACAAAGGTATTTCTTAAAAAATTCCCCGACCGTCCTCGGAGCCCTCCTTTCCGACGCCTTTGCACCCGCTGACCCAGGATTCGTTCCCACAGTTATTACCATGCTTTTCTAAATTAAAAAACCTTAAAATAAATCAATGATAAAATCCGGGAACCGAGAAAAATAGAATGGAATGTTCGGAGGATGGTAAAAGCTGGGGGTCCATGAGATAGCCATCAGAAAACAGTTCCCGGGGGGGGGGGGAGCATCCTCATCGGGTGATATCGGGTCAAACGGTAAGTGTTTAGAAAATGGAGGGGAGGTCGCTTATAATAATAGAAATGACGAAATTTTGCAATAAATTTAATTCAGCAAGCAATAATCGGTAATAACCAAATATTTATGCTCTGGAACTCCCACATATTTGTGTTTTTCAAAGCAGAGCTTCCATTCTGAGGTATCGCGCAAAAAACTACCTCTCATACGGTTTCTGGATACCTTTACTAGATCTTAAAGCATATAGGCTATACACGTGTCTCGAAAAATTGGCGGAAAAGTTGAGACGTGGTTGAAAACTTTAATGACAATTCCTAGCGAAAGTACTGCAGTCTAGAAAGAATCGTTGACGGTGAACAATAATCTTATTTAATGTCTGCTTGTCCCAGTGATCAGCCCATCACGGCCATCCCCGAACAGCAATGTTATGGTAGGTCGGAGGTGAGCCGTGGGTGCTTCGAGCGGAGCGCCCGCGTCCATCCTTTTATGCCAAATCGCACGGACCCCCGTGGGTGTTGAATCACAAAGACCCTTCCTTGTCTCTCTCTTCACCCTCCGAGTGGCGCTCTCATCGAAATACCGTACCATCCGTACCACAAAACACCCAGCCACCGGGACCATATTGCTGAGCCATGCGAAAATTTGCTTGCGATGGTGAAAATCGCGGTAAACAACTTCGGCGAGGAGAAGCGCTGGCATAAAACTGTTAGGGAAAATAACTTCAAAATCTGGAACTCTGGCTATAGGAATTAAGGTATCTCACATCAGATGATAGTGTATCAAAAGTTGAACCCTGGTACCTTTGCGCCCTAATGGTAATAGATATAAATTCGGAAAAATTGACGTAACCAAAGATTCTTTTGCGTTTAAGTCTGTACTATAGCTTATTCCAAGCAAACCAGGAGCTTATTAGAAAAATGAAACCTTGAAAAAATACTCATACACGTTAAGGAAGAAATCCAATGTATAAAAACCATATGCTTTTCAAGATTACATATCCGGCCAGAGCAACGAAGTGCTATCTGAAAACGCTCCACTTTTAAAGGCGAAAGTATCGGTCTTACTTTCCGCCCCGAACCTGTACCATTAGCCCTCAGCGCGGAACACGAATGTTACCGTGTGATGGGTTATGGCACATTAGATATGCGAGCTCCTTTCCCTTTTCATGTTGATCCGCTTTTCCCCTGGATCTTTTCCCTGCATAAGGGCTTAGAAAATAAGCATAGTGTTGTAAAAGGTTTCGCAAAAGTTTGAACAGTATGTTTTTAAGACTGGCACTTCCGCGTTGATGGTTCGGAGATGAAGCAGACACGTAACATTTCCTGAAAACGTTTTTACCGATAAATTTTGCGTCTAAGGTATCCATATTGACTTCAGAACATAAGATATTGAACGTTACAAGTCAAGCCTATTTCTCTGGACGTGTTTTGGCCCCTTCAAGGCGCCACGTATCGATACGTATCACCAAAATGTCCGTATCAAGGTTCACACTCCCCTAACCCAGCTTGCAGGGTAAGTCGTTTCTTGGACTACCGATAAGCCTCAGCAAAAAGTTTTCGATTCCTAGGTAGGATACGTTCCTGAAAATTATCAATATCAATATCAATAACATTTTCTTTAAAATTTTCAAGACCAGTTTAGCTAGCTGCTTTTGGCCTTTCAAAAACTATCAAGATGCAGAAGAAAGACAAAAACGACGTTTGCATCAGCGACCCCGGCTTCTTAAACTATTATTTACGTTTAGTGGTGAACTTTTTTATTTTCAAATTCTTCATTAAAAAGCGGCACTTCCCGCCAGCAGCCATTTTCTTGTGCAAAAAAACGGCTTGTCATTTTGTTGCGTCAATAAATTCCTGGCCGAGAACCCAGCCGGGGTCATTCTCCCCCAACAAACAACCCAAAATCCATGCTCTGATTTGTCGCAACCCCTAGCTGCAAGTGTTTGAAATTTTACGTTTATTTTTAAAGATTTTTGGATCCATCATAAAAATCGCAATATAATACAATCCATAGACTTTGGTCTCAAAAACTCACATTTTCATGCCGATTGCATCATTTTAAAATGAAATCGGAATTTTTATTTCAGAATGGTCCTAAAGGGGGCAATACCCCTCTTTCTCTTCGTAGCGTGCCTTGATGCCGGCATCAGGCCTTTGATTACGGTTTCCGACGCGGATCAAGTCGGACTCAACAAGGACACTCTGAAGCACCTTGTCAAACAAATTGGCGATTTACCGGTCCGTTTATGTTGTTTACCTATTTGTTCGTTTTGTATCCCCTAATAATCAGAATGCAAAAAGCTTTTGCCCAAATTCGGTATTGCAGTGAATTGCATCACTGCCAAAGCTTAAGCCACATGGCATACTTGGAGCGGTACTAACGTCCATGTACCCCTTCAAGTAAAACATATAAAACATAAGTAAATACAATAAAAAAATCATAGATGCTATCCTATTTTAGGTGGCTGTCATTGCTACTAGCGGGAAATTCCGAGGCGGGAAAAGCTTCTTCGGAAATGTCTTCATGGACCGTTTTCGAGCCGGCGCGAAACCCTATGGGTTAGATACGATCATCGGGTAGGATGGGTTTTCTCACTGCATGTTCCTAAATAACTGCATACCCATGAAATGTAAATTTATTGGTAGCGGTTCCGACGGGATTCCATTCCGACACCAACGCAAGGGGCACACGAAGGGAATTAATGTTTGGTCCGATGTGAAATATGCGGAGTATCCGAATGGAAAACGTGTAGGTTTAATAAAAAAGTCTAAAGCGCATTATCCTAATTTATCCAAGATTATATCTCAGGTTAAATTAACTAATTAGACATTGTATACTCTGCCAAACTCAAGTTATTAGATAGCCATCATCTACCTGGATTGTCAAGGAACTTTTGATACGGATGCCGAACGAGCGGTTACCGCAATTTTGTTCACTATTTCTGAAATGCTCTCTTCAACTTTGGTAAGATCATTTTGTAACCTAGTTTCGAAAATTCTTAAGATTTTTAACGTGCAAAATCGTCTCGACGCGCAAGACCTGGAGGTACTGCACGAGTTCAACATGTACGCCAAGGGTGAAGGGCAACAGATTGGGCAGGTAAATGAATGTTTTGAAAATAGGAAATTCATCAAATTTTAGAACTTCTTCGTGCTGATCCGCGACTCGACAGAAAACCCGGGACTGGCGACGGACTATCTGGAAACGTTGCGCAATCCCGATTCGAAAACGCTGGACCACGTTGATGGAGCGTTTTCTGCATTCACGCGAGTTGAAGCCTGGGCCGTGCCCAGGCCAGCCGATGCACTGTTGAGGGCTAATTTTTCGATCCGAGCTGGTGGTACGTAATTCCAAAGGCGAATAGCCATCTTAATTCAGACTGTGGTGCCAAATTCTTGAAGCACATCGTTGGTTTTGCCGACCATGTTGTCCGAACGATGGAGCCGAAAAAAGTGATGTGCACAGATTTGAATGGTCCGCTTTTTGGGCAATATGTTGAGGTACTTTAAAAACTACGCTAAGCAACGTGGCAATTTAGGAAGTCGTGAAAACGGTCAGCAAAAATGTGAGGGCCGGCATGCGCAGCGCGCCCGAGGTTTTTACCAATTATTTTTGGTAAAATGTAAATTTTTAGGCGTTAAAGGCCGCCCAATTTGCCGCAGCGGAAGCCATTGCTTTTCAATCGTTTGAAAAGGTTAGCGCTTCTTTGTTTAAAAAGAAAAAGTATTTTAGGCGGTTTCCAGTTTCGATGTCGGTGGCACAGAGTTGGCAAAACTTCTCGAAATGCTTGATCAAGCCTATCTTGCTGCCTTTGAGGTCGGTTTTTGACTACTTTTACAAATCGTTTTCTTGTTTTCCAGGTATACAAATCGCAACCTCGTTTCGGCAGCACGGCTGAAAAGCAAGCAGCGCTGGAGGAGTTCAACGCGAAAACCATGGTATTCGAAATTTTTCTTGGACAGCGCTTTGGTTTAGACGCTCCGTAAAAAGCTTGCCGAAGAACTACAGCTTCGCAAAAAAGCGCACTCGATGGAAAAGAAGATAGAAGATCTGGGTTGGTATAACAATCAAGGAAGGATTGATTGGTTTACAGAATCCTACTCTTGGCGAGACGCGTTAACAGACATCTTTCTGTTGTCGAACATGATTCAAGTAAGTGATATTTAATTGTTGTGTGGTATTAATGTGTATTAGTGATGTTTAATTGTTGAGTGATAAATATGGTGTTTAGCAAGGGGTCGGATTGCCGGTGAAGATGGAACAAGCGAAGGACACGTTCGAGAAGGCCAAGGATTTCGGTATTTACAAACACGATTCTTCGATGGAAATTTAGTGAAAGTCACCGCGAAGGCTTGGAAACTGGATCTGTAAACGCTACTATAACGATCTATGAATGCTATCACCTCTGTATTTTGCTATTTCGAGACGGAAAATGTAGTGGCCTGCTGGTGTGAAATTTTGGTATCAAGCCCTTTAAATAAGTTATTCGTAAGTACGTAGTAAATATGTCTACTCACCATAAATATAATATTCTTGCGCCGGAAGAATTGAGTCACAAAGGTCAACTCAAGAGATAAAGACGTCATATCCTACACACGCATCGGCTTTGATGAAAAATATTTTAAATTTGCCCATCGTTGTTTAATTCAGACAGCAACCCAAAATTTTGGCGTCAGTATATATTTTAGTCCTATCTTTAGCTTTGCTTCTCGATGTTTTCCCTATCATTAAGTTTGCGAATTTACTCAAAACCACAAAACAATTTTTGCGAATGCCCAACTCCTGGCAAAGTTTCCCCTAAATCAAGCTTTTTCACACGCCCACCAAATTGACAAACGGCCCAGTGAGGGGTACTTTGGATCCAACGCCTTATTTTAGACCAAGGGTCCCGGCAGACAAGATTGCTTTTTTGCAATGTCTGACGAGGGTTGCTTAAACTTTGATAGCGTCTCGCTACCGTATTCCAATCCATCGACATCTAAGTACGATCCGATACAAATTGCATTTGGCGCACTACAGCTAGTAGTTGTTATATCGTTTTTACTGTTGCATGGACCAATGATGAAGGTAAGCCTAAGCCTAGGCCTGAGCCTAAGCCTGAGCCTAAGCTTAAACTAAAATATTTAACATTTCTAGAACGTCTACGCTCGTTGCGACCGTACCCCAGCTACCATCGGCTACAAATTAATTGTTTTTCTGTCCATCGTCGATGAAATTCAATTACTGGCCCACTTATACGCCTCAATTTTACTGATTTTTAATATTCGCACCCCCGTCGGGCCAATTATGATAAGAATCGTTATAAGAAATTTTTTGAGCCAATTTCTAGGTTGTCGGCGCATTCATAGATGCTGCTTGGTTTACCACGATTACCCTTACATTCACGATCACTGTTTATCGATTTATTGTTATAGTTTTCAACCCGCTAAAAATATACTTCCTGCAGACCTCGAGTTTTTGGGTAGTTGAGCCATTCTAAACATCATCGCAAAAGTAGGTCATGGCCGGCATGAATCTGGCTGTATTTTCCGTGGTTTTAATTTTGAACCTCGTCGGTTTGAGCAGAGAATATTTCGATTTTTCGGAATTTGGGTGGGCAAGACCAAGATTTATAGCAACTTCTTTGAGTTGGTGGTACGCTGGCGGGTGCGAAATAAGCGACGTCATTTCAAAAATGGACTTATGGGGCTGTAGTATCTCTTACGGGCTATCGGCCGCACTTTATGTGATTATATTTGTGTATATTTTTGCGAAGGTATGGCTGGAGGGACCGCATACAGGAAAAAAAGTATTTAGAAGAAGGCAGCCAATAAAGCTGACTTACGATGGGCATTGCAGGTAAGTGTAATATCCTATAAAGTTTTCGAAACAATAAATCGTTCTGTGTTAAGACAAATATTCTGATAAGGTTGTTATTAAGATGTAATAAAAATAGCAAGCTTTAGACGTTTTGCTTCTGTCTCTACACACTCCTCGCCTCAAATGAATGGACCTTCATCTACCCCAACCGCCCACAGTCCGGCATCTCGCTATTTTTCCAAAACCTCCTATGGCCCGTCTGGAATGGTGTGAATGTCATTTTTTACTTCATCTTTCAATGGCAAGCGCAAAATTGCGTATTTTAATCGCCCTAGGGTTTTCTCTAGGCACGAAGTGAAGAAAACCATCAACCCGCCGACGGATCGCCCGAGAACCCTATCGCTCCCCAACATTCCAGCATTGAGGAAATTTTCTACCGTTCCAGTCAAAGATATCCGACTTCCGAATATTGCATAAATCCTAAAATGTTTTTTTAATTTATCTTGGCCGATTTCTGAGGTTCAGAAAATGCGCCTTCCCGGGAGGGTAAACACTGCCGATCAAAACTTGGAAATCACCAGAATTCCGCCGCTGGTGTTGGCAAACAGAGAAAAGCTGCGCTATTTTTGAACCCCAGGCAAATAGTGGTTGGTTTTTGGCTTTATTGATCGGTTTATTGTATCCCGAGATCCCAGACATTGTATAGAAATGTAAATTTAAATGCGATTCGGGAATTTCGCGACCAAACACTTTCAAACAATCGTCTCATTCCGTCCTATTCGACCGATGAAAACTCGACACTATTTTCTCCACTCAGAATTATACCTGAATGGACAAGAAATGAATGAATTTCCCCATATTTCAGCTGCACCTCGTTAATCTAGATTTAGGTGCCTAATCTCTTTGGAAACCCTCCATTCATGCCAACGGATTAACCTGCTTCCCTTTTTCCGCCCGGCCACATGATCGAGTAGCAACTCCCCTGTGTGTTCCCCACCCATCCCATTCAGGAGCTATAGTTGGCTTCATCTGCGCCCTCCAGTCTCCTGCCGATCCCTCCCCTAACCTCATTCAAGGCCAGTGGCCACGTGTTTTCTAAAAAACGCTTGCGGTCGGGCCCCGCCCTCTTGTTGTTTGGCCCCCGGCCGGGAATCTTTACTTGAAAGTATTTTTGACGATACCTGCTACGAATCATTTCAAAGAATTTGGGGGATGCCGTTTGACAACGAGGGTGGTGTTCAGGTTGCGCCGGTTACGCAACGCCCAAAAATTCATGAGGTGGGCGCTTTTGAAATCTTGAATTTTGAGAAAACGCCAAAGTGGCAGAGTCAAGAATTTTCTAGGCTTTTTCAGGTGTTAACGGAATTTCGAAAGCATGTTAAAGGTACTGAAAAATGAACTGCATCAGGTGAAGCACCACAAGTTCGTGGCCCGGGTTCTTCGCCAACCTACCTTCTGCTCCCATTGCAAGGGCTTCATCTTTGGCCTCGGCAAGCAGGGATACCAATGTATGGGTGGGTTTTCGCAGGTTCTGACTAATTACTCAATAACTAATAGTCTAAAAATCTATTTAAGGCTGCCAAACGGTCGTCCACAAACGCTGCCACGACAAAGTGGAGTGCTCCTGTGTCCTGGCCGAAAATGCGGACGACGGGAGCAATGAGAACGAGCCCCCGCTGCACCACTTTGCCACTCGCACCTTCACCAAACCGACCTTCTGCGACCATTGCGGTATTGACCTGAAACTTATGAGGGATCAACAACTTACAATTAGGATCTCTTCTTTATGGCATCTGTCGCCAGGGAATGCGATGTGAACCGTGCGATACGACCGTACACAAACGTTGTCATCACAAAGTGGCCTGCAAGTGTCATCATGATATGGCCGAGGCTCAGCATACGGTAAATATATGATTCCTTTTCTAAAAATAGCTAAAGCTTTTATTATTTTACACCCTTGAGCCGAATAACGCTCTCCGTAAACCGATAAAATTGGAATGCGCTCACCAGGTTTTTATCGAATAGCACCCTCAATTCGGCACTGATTAGTAGTCGCTCCGAGGGCAGCTTATCTGCGTTCTTACTAGAAATAGATCCGGGAAACCCCCTTCCGGTTCCAGCCCGTTATCTAAAGCTGTTTTTTGCGCCCCATAAAATAGGTCCGCGCGTGGGCCGGAAGAGTTCGTATTTTTCCCATCCCCAAAAAATTATCTATACTATTAGGGCGCATACCTATGGAAAAGTCCATAGCGCAGCGTTAGGCCAAGGATTGCGTTCAAAACAGGCGAACCTTCCCCCATTTCCGAAGAGCGGTTTTTATCTACGTATTACTGTCGAATATGCGAATTTTTGATCGCTTCTCCTGCACTCTTTTACTCTTTCTCTCTTTCTCTCTCTTTCTAATAACCGCACAAAAATTAAGTATGTCGGTTTAAGGACGACCCAGCCATGTCCGTAGAACCCGAAACAACCCCTAAAAACGTGCTATACATCGCTGGTACTCGAGTCACCTGGGAACTGCTGGAAAAGGACCTAAAGGTTGGCGACCGTTAAAAACTACCAATTTCATAAGCGATTGTAGGAGCACTTTGGAACCACCGCCCAATTCGGCGATCAAAAATCGGCTGTCCCATTTGGTGCCAACCAGGGCTTTGTTTCACAAGTTTTCCTGGTTGAGCCTGACTGGACCATGGAGCATGAGAAGCTCCCAAAGAAGCTCGTGCTCAAGGTCACCCAGCCGGACAAGGTAGCTTATTGCTATTAAGATTAGATAGTCAATATTTTTAGCTCCAGGCGATGTGCGAGCAAGTGTTCAAAGTATCATTTGAGGCGATGAAACCGTCTATCATTAAGGTATGAAAAGCCTGATCGGGCTTTAGAACTTCAAAAACGGGTGTATTATTGCAATTTTTGTTTCTGTAGGTACACGATAATGAGGTCAACGCCTATCAACTGATGCGAGACGAGTGGAAGAGCGTCGATGCTTTGAAAATGCCGAAATACTACTCCGGACGGCACTACGGCCATGATGGTGGAGATTATGGTAAGAAACATTCGTTTTTATGCGTCCAATATTTTAGGTTACCTAGCAATTGAATTCCTGGCCAATGGGGTTCCGCTTCACACCTATCATAATTTATCGGTAACGTCCGGTTAAATGATTTGGCAATTTTTTAAGATGAAAACGTGCGAGAGTGTCATTCGACTCCTCGCCAAAATGGGAGCACTTTGTAAGTCCCAACACTCAGCCGTAACTTTTCCGGTTCCCTTTAGCCCTCCAAAATCCCGAAAACGTCCTGAAATTCGACTTCAACTTTATTCAACAATTCGGAGCGGTCATGTTTGGCCCCGAGGTGATTTTGGTAATTTGTCAGTTAAACGAGAATTCATAGAAAGCTCGGGAAAGCGTAAAGTTGGTCGGGCAACTAATCCCAGAAACCCAGGATGACCTTGAATTCATTGAATCGAAAATCGATGTCATTTGCAATATGGGAACTATGGAGAAGATTGTTGCGGAAAGTGGTAAGGAACGCCACATCTATGCGTAAAAATATACCATATATAGCTCCGATTCGCATGCTGTGCCACGGTGATCTGTGGGCCGCGAACATTTTTTGGAACGCTGTTTCAGAGGGGGATTATGAACTGCAATATTTGTAGATTGGCAGGTAGGCTTTGGAGGTCTCTTGCGGGATATCTTGGCACGAGAAGTTAATTCTTAATAATACTATTAATTCTAAGGGACCCACGCTGGTTCCCCGATCGAAGATATACTGCGTTTCCTCAGTTCGGCCGTCAGTGCTAAGGATCATCAGGAAATGTATGCTAGGATTTTCTATTATATAGATGTTACGCCGAAAAGCAGGTGTTCATGCGATAATGGCCTTTTTCTAGGCGCCCAAAACTCATCCAGACTTACTACGACGCTTTGGTCGACGAGTGCGCAGGAAAAGTAGAGATCCCATTTACCACCGACATGGTTAGAAAAAAAGTTCCGCGTAAATTGTCTATTTTAGCTCAATGAAGCATACGAGAAGCTGATGCCGGCCTTCATGATCCCGGCCTTCCAAGCCAGCGTCGGTTTTACGGAAATGATACTGGCTGGCGCACCAGGTGAAGAATTTTACAAGTTATCCAACAATTGTATTTTTTTTAGCGGACGAGCAGCAAGAAGCCCGCCAAACACTCACCCTCCGGATGCACGGCCTGGTCAAGGAGGCCATCGGATATCTGCATAAGTGGTATTAAACTGAAAGTTTGCAGTGAATTCTTTGTATCGTATGACTCCTCGTCCAATATAAATTGCGATTTCGTTTGCATTTTCTATATAATTTACACCGATTGTGAAGAGTGCCCGGAAAGACTTTACTCCTCTTAGTCATCCTCTGAATCCCCGACAACAGTTTTACGATTGCCACGATGCTTGTTTCGAAAATAAACTTTGGCCCTGTGTTTTTGCATACATCATCGCATTTTGGAAGCCATTTTCGAAGATACAGACGTTTTGACGGGAGTCTTCGTTTCAGAATCCACCCAACAAGAAGAGTAGAAGCAATTACAACTCTTCCTTCTCTTTCTCGTTCTTTTCTTAGTCAATGTTTGCCCAAAACACAAAAAGGAAGAGGGCCTGTTCGCCAAACGGCTGACTCACGACAGCCACGAACGGCCGCAGTTCTTTTCGGTAGAGTCCAAAGGACGGCCAGTTCGTCCGGGAAATTCAAGGCCTTGACTTACGCCTAAAATTCTGGAATTTTTCCTCGCGTCTAAGATCCAGTTATTTTTAGCTTAACCATGTCAGCTCAGAATCGCAATATTTAACGTGCCGGAAATTTAAGGATTTTGCTAAACTTAAGGGCACTGGAAATTTTTTTTATAATAAAACCCGTTTTAAGACGATTCCGACTAGATAATGCAACTTCATATCATGTCGGATTGAATTATCAAATGCAAAAATGCTGAGAACCTCGGAAATCGACTGCGATCTTCGATGTTTACGATCAAAGCCATTCCCATTGAAATTCGAAACAATGAATATAATGAATATTTGATCCTCCTATTGCCTCAGCTGCACTAGAAAACTTCAGATCTCAAAGTCTTCAAGTTCAAAAAAATGGAATTTTTCAAGTTCATCCCTATGACTTGAAGTGCCGGAACGCACATGTGCTTTTTCTCAAGTGGTCCCAATTTGTTCGATCACAACCATCCACAAAATGGCACGATTCTTCCAGACGTTTTGCCCCCAATTTCCTTGTTGTTGTTGCCCCGGTCCTTCCAGACGTTGCAAGCGATCGATCACATCCTGATGTGCCGCCTTTTTTGTGGTAGATGTGCTATGTGCAGGAGCGCCCCCGCCTTGAGTCATTCGTTGCCCAAAACTGGCTCTTTTCACGCCCTCACGTCACCGCCATCACCCCCACAGATATATCCAATTTCACGCCTTGTCGTTCAGATTTTCAAGCTCATTTGACAGCAATTGCAATGTCTTGCATCCCGATGTCGGCTGCAACGGTGCCCGAATCAAAAATTCATAAGGTAAGTTAAGAGGCGGAATACCTTGAATTACTTGAATTTACCATTATTTACTTAATGCTTAATCTAATTTAGATATTTTTAATAAATAGACTAAATTAAAGTTGTACTCGTTAATTAGGAGCCTCGGAGAGTGCGCTCCTTTCCAGTTCTATAAGCTTTCCGCAAAACCTAATATGCGTTTCCGCTAGCTCCAATAACACTCAAAACAATGTTTTTGGCATGACAATGGCAGTATTAAAAATATTAACAGTTTATTTTTATTAGCTAGTTCAAAAGATTTCAATTACTGTACTTACTATTAGGTGAAAAACCACAAATTCGTGGCCCGCATGCTGCATCAACCCCATTTTTGCGCCCACTGCAAGCAGTTCATCTACGGACTCGGGAAACAGGGCTATGAATGCATGGGTATTGCCCGTTTAATGTTATAATCTCTTAAAGTTTAGGCTGCCAGACCGTTGTCCATAAGCGCTGCCACGAATTCGTATATTGCGAGTGTGTCAAGGGCGGTGCTGAAGAGGCATTACCATGTTTTTTTTAGGATTTACCTCAAGTTCCAGGTTGATGCTGATGCCTTCGAGCCGAGCAACGACCAAGAAAATGTACCAAACGGAAGCGAGGACCCCAAAATACACGAGGTACAGAGCAAAAAAGCTTGTTCTACTTGATTCTAACCCTTGATTTTCCCAGGTAAACGAGCACAAATTTGTGGCCAAAACCTTCCGCCAACCGACGTTCTGCTCCCACTGCCGCGAGTTTATTTATGGCCTCGGGAAACAGGGCTATCAGTGTGTCGGTGGGTTTTTGAGCATTGAAAATAAAAACAACGTTATTATAAAAGTTAATTTTTCGTCATTTCCGAATTTTAGGTTGCCGAACCTCTGTCCACAAGAAATGCCATCAAGACGTTGTCTATTCTTGCCGGCGCGTCGCAACTGATAAATAAAACCATTATTAATTCGGACAAATTAATTTTATAAACTTACGACGTTGATAATTCTGAACAATATGGTCAAAGCCTTTATTAATACCAAATACCAAATATTGCTTAATTGATACAAATACATATTCATTTTGAAAAGACCTTTCAAAAACGATTTCCGGATTCCGTTTCTAATCGTTTATTTTGCCCGAACCCAACCTTCACGTCAAAAATAATCAACCTCAAACCCAGTGGAGCGTCACCAAATTTGATCTGACACTTTCGGGGCCAAAAATCGGCGATTCCGGCGAAGAGACCAAAAGACTCCCGTTTTTTTTCGGGAGACTACGACGTAAACACACGCCCGGCAATTTGATGTTGAGCACCCACTTTTCCGGCCATCCCGATTGAAAATTCGCGCTCCCCTTGACCGGGGCGAGTCGGAAATAGAACGCTAGGAGAGTGGGCATCGGCATTCCGACCTGAATTTTTGCGAATAACTTCCGGCGTTAAAATAATGCTAGGTTTAATAATTATTGCTTTACGACTTAGTTTAAGACGAATCATACCAAAACTACGCAGCTTTTCGTAGAAAACACATGAAGCTTCCAAAAACCTCTAAAATCCCTATCCTATTTTTATCCGACATCCAAATGAACAAATTTTCGCTCCTCCCCATTTCTTCCCAGAGGATCGCATTACATTCGACTTTATTTACCGGGGTCCCTGTCTTTCTCTCAAACACCAAATCGGCTTTTTTTGTTCATTTCTTCCGAAACCATCTATTTTGAAGCATGCCCGTTAACGGCCAGGATAACGTTCAAGCGGCCGCTAGATCCAGGAAGATTCATGAGGTAGGGAAAAACTAATATGAAAAGTATAAGGTGTTCTAGGTGAAGCAGCACAAATTTGTCGCTCGTCTGCTGCGTCAACCCACTTTCTGCTCTCACTGCAAGAGCTTTATCTTTGGATTTGGCAAGCAGGGATATCAGTGTTTGGGTGAGTAAAATATTCTTTTTAGTAGATTGCTGCTTCGCCGGCCCTCTAAAAAATGGTGAATTTGATTGTTTTTAGGTTGTGAAGCCGTTGTGCACAAGCGCTGCCACGACAAGGTGAGCTGCAAGTGCAGCAAAGCGGATGAGCCGGAAGCCGAGGAACAGGTTTGAAAATATTTTTGTGAGTTAGTACAGCATCGTAAATAATATCGAGATATAAGGTTTTATGAATTCTAGGGCGCACTCAGCGAAGGAAATGAGGCCCCACACGTCTTCGCCGCCCGCACCTTTCACAAACCGACATTTTGCGATCACTGCGGATCTCTACTCTACGGTCTAGTCCGCCAAGGGATGCAGTGCAACTCTTGTCACTCTAACGTGCACAAGCGGTACGATCTTACGGCTAACTACAGACTATGATGCACCGTTTAGCTGCCACGAGAATGCAGCGCACAACTGTGGCATGGAGCCGATTGCAGCGTAAAACCGAATGGAATCGTATCTTAATAAGCTTAATTTCTTCACGATTGTTCACAATAAATCGTAGAAATTTAGTATATTACAATACAAAAGCCGACAGTTATTAAAAACTCCGGAAAACGTGTTAAAAATACCGACAAGCTTATTTTCGGACCACCAGGTATCTATTTTTAGCTCACCCACACGCTCCGCTAAAAATCACAGCTCATTTTTCACGCCTCCAGCGGCTTACGAAACACGCGCACCCAAATCGGCAAACTTTAAAGCGTACCTGTGAGTCAGCAAAAGACAGGGAGCTTCTCGGTTGTTGTACCCACCGGAAATAGTCACACACCCAATCGGATTACGCCGCCTTGACCGTCTTCTATTTGCTTTCTTATCCCCTTTTGTCGCCCGTGTGTGCAACAATCATATTTTCGAGTGTTATAAGGGGGTGATAAGGGCTGGGGAGTGTGTCATTTTCCAGGTGTGATGGTTTTCAGAGTTTTTCGTAGCGATTTGGGGTGTTTTATTCATGTAATCTTGTGCAATTTTTGATCTTTTTATTCACCTGTAATTTTTATTAATCATACTACAAACTTTCTAATCTGAATTTATTGTTTTGAGTCGGTGTTTAGGAGGTTTTCGAGCGCTCAAACCCCTAAAAATTGAGTGGTGCTGACTATTTTTGATGCTGGAACATTTTTATAGTATAGGTATGCACGGCATCGATCACGATCCTTTTGTGAGCTGCCCAAAGTCCTAAAAAATCACCGCTAGCCTGCCTTTTGAGGTTGTATCTATTTCAATGGGATAGGCAGCATAAATCGTATTAAAAGTTAAAAAAACGCCTCAAATGTACATTGCAAATGATCTCTGCTAGCTGACCTTCCAACCCCAGAAAAATTACCTCATTATCACCGACAACATTTTCCCTTCCGCCCCGCAAATATGCCATTCGAATACCTATAAGCCCATTCCCGAAATGAGATGTGTTTTGCGGGGGGCCGACTAATGTCAAAAGGTCACAGGTCCATTACCACCCCCGGGCCATTTTCCATGCATTCCAGCCATTCAACACCCACTCCTCTCTCATCCCAATGTTATTAGCCGCCCCTCAGAAACACGATGGCTTCATCGCCTCCCAGTGGCCTTCATTTGGGCGAATTCGGGGTATCATGAAGCCCCCAGTAATTTTCTAAACGTTCAGCTGGCTAGAAATTTCGATTCTTCAAGACAGCTGGGATTGAAAACTGACCTTTCCGCCTGAAACCTGGTATTTTATTCTCAGGCTTCTTCAAGGCGTTCGCGTGGGCGGGCATAATTTTATTAGAGCGCCAAAATTTTTAATCCCATTAAATTTCATACGAAAGTCGGATGCGCGAAAGGTATAAATTAATCGAATCTGCCCGCACCGCCTCCATTGCGCCTTTGAGGCCGTAAAATTCGGCTTGAAATAACTTATTTCGTATTTATTTTCTCCCATCTTTGCATTTTTGATCCGTCTAGATCATCTGAAAAGTCACGTTATGCAAAAATTTCAGCTCCAATCACCCAACCTCAACTACGCTACCAAAATGAATCAGCTCTTGAAAAGCCAGGAAAACGTTGACGACAAAACAATTCATGTCGTAAGTGTTTAATCGTTGAGTTATAATTTCAAATCTAGGTCAAAAAGCACCAATTTGTCGTGCGCACCCTGCGCCAGCCGCACTTCTGCGCCTACTGTAAAAGCTTCATCTACGGGTTGTCGAAACAAGCCTGTGAATGTTTAGGTAATCTTGTGCTTTTGAAGCATTTTTGAAGTTTTAGGATGCCATACGGTAGTCCACAAAAAATGCCATCGAATGGTCCTGGCCGATTGCCTGGCGGAAAAACAGGTATGGTGAAACAAAAGATATGGCAGTCAGGGGTTTTAGAAAACTATCGAGCCGACTCCTAAAAACCCGGAAAATGAGCAAGAAATTCTAAAAAGCGTCAAACCGAAGACTGCAAAAATTCATCAGGTATTTTTGCGTAATTAGTCGCCTTTTGTTAATCCACAATTTTCCTTTTTTTAATTAACTTACCTAATTCAGATCAACAACCACAAATTTGTGGCCAGGATCTTTCGCCAGCCGACGTTTTGTTCGCACTGTCGCGAATTTATTTTCGGGATTGGCAAGCAGGGTTATCAGTGCCTTTGTGAGTTTTGCATTTTTATCAGAGCGCGATCTTCTTGAGTTTTTATTCACCGTTTAATATCGTTTGTGTTGTGATCCTCGAAAAGAGTAGTCGAACGATGTAGAATGCGCTTGGACGTACAGTTATCGAACAACTGTTTATCTACATAAATGGTGGCAGGAGGATCGGCAACAGAGCTAGTCTGTGCCGATAAGTGGACCCGCAACGAGATAATACAATCTAGTCATAGGCGGGGAGTGGCGCACGCGACGCGACCGCAGGGGGGCGCGCGCCGGTGGCTTACCCACTGGATAGGAGGGACAGCCGGGAAAGAGGATCTAATGTGGTCCAGCAAAGCTGACACCACAACACCTCCCCTTGTACAAAACAAAGTACGAATTCCTAGGAGAAATTGGGACAGGTGGAACATGAGATAGGCGGAGTCTAATGTGGTCCAGCGAGCTGGCCCCACAACACCTCCCCTTACACAAAAAACAAGTGTAGATTGGAGGGACCGGGATAGGAATCGAGTGAAAAGCACAATAAAGTTCAAGAAAAAATTATCTGCTTATTCCTTCACTCCTTGATGACGCGCAGCGAGGCGATCACCGACAACGTCCATCCTTCACCTTCATCGCCTTCACATCACGTCCTCCTTCTTGTCGACCTTCTTTTCCTTCTTTCCTTCTTCGGCTTCACTTGTAGACGCGGCCTTGGGCTTGACACGCGCACCTCCTTCGGTCCTTTCGTGGATGAGGACTAACCAACTTCCTCATCTTCTGCTACCTTCGCGGCTTGTGGCGGTCCTTGGGGCAAAACGGCGGCCGGTCGCCGGGCACTTCAGGCACTTGCACCCTCCTCCTTCTTCGACAACGGCAGCGTGCCCTCCACCCGGAAATGTGGGGGCAAAAAGGGGAAAAAACACCTCCCTTTCCATTGATCCTGCACGAGCGGCACCGGCACATCATCCATCGATGGGCCCGCCGGCATCAGCACGCTCTGCTCCTTGATCTTCTCGCCATGCCTTCTTTCTTGTCGCTTGCCAACCATGTAGACGTCCCTGACCTCGACCTTGTCGCTCTCCTTGACCTTGTCGCTTTCTTGGTCCTTGTCTCGTCGGCTTGACTTGACTTCTCGCGCTTCTCCACCTTCTTTCTTCATCCTTGATCACGTTTTCGGGCTCGAGTGGCTTCTTGGCTGGGGCATCCCTTGATCTTGCGTGAGTTCTTGATCCTGCTCGCCAGTTGTTGTGTTCTTGGAATGAAGTAGAATGCGCTTGGACGTACAGTTATCGAACAACTGTTTATCTACATAAATGGTGGCAGGAGGATCGGCAACAGAGCTAGTCTGTGCCGATAAGTGGACCCGCAACGAGATAATACAATCTAGTCATAGGCGGGGAGTGGCGCACGCGACGCGACCGCAGGGGGGCGCGCGCCGGTGGCTTACCCACTGGATAGGAGGGACAGCCGGGAAAGAGGATCTAATGTGGTCCAGCAAAGCTGACACCACAACAGTTTGTTTAGGCTGCCGCGCCGTCGTCCACAAACGCTGCCACGAGAACGTCATCCACCATTGCCGGCGGGCAGCCGAAGCCGCCTAAAAGTATGAGGAAGCCTTGAAACACTGTATTTGCATAAATAATGATGAATTAATAATTTTTCATCAAATTTCGGATTGTTTTCCGCCTTCCGAGATGTTTAATAGTGTTCCGCGACGGCTTTTCCGGATGAAAATTGAATTCCTGACAAACCCGGAATTCCAGAAACCGCCCGAAATATCACGCACGGTCTTGCTATCAAATCGCCAGAAAATCAGGAAATAAGCACATCCGGGAAAGAGTGCGACCGAGCCTGACCTTCCGCCGGCAGCACTCATCTCTGCCGGCAGGAAATCCCGAACCACGCACGCTCATCCCGAACGTTTTTCCGCGTTTGCGGCCTTGACGAGGCGCCAAGAATTTGTCAAAAGCTCTCGCGTCCCGTTTTTGGGATAGTTTTTACATAGAGACTGTAAAATATCAGATTTGGCATTAAAAAAGGAAACGTGAAGGTCAGCAACTGGCATAGGCCTGAAATGGCAGCGCAAATCGCTAATAATTTGCGAATCGGCCGATTTTAAGACCAATAAACGGTTAAACGAGGTCACAATTTATGATCACACTGTTATAAAATAACGAAAATAACATTATCTCCGGTAGATTTACGTAAAATCGTCGTCTTTGTGTTTCGAGCTTTACGCAAATCAATTGTGATTGTGACTTTTCTGTGATTAAAAAGTTGAAAAATTTAATAAGGTCAGAAATCACTTAAGTTAAAAGCATGGTTTTAGAAAAATTTAGATTTTCGAGTTAAAACTGATGTTTTGACCGATGGGAAACCACCAATCCGTTGCTTACAAGTGCCGCCTTACAGTTTGTTTACCTGTTTCGCCCCAGTCCCAAATAACTTTTCGCATCTTCTTTTTTAGGTTTTTCTATTTGCCCCAACAAATTTCGAAGCACTCATTCCCCACATCCACAAATTGTTGTTTATCCCTCGACACCTTCTTGGTGGCCCCAACGAGCCTCGATGCTCCACCCAAAAACACGATTCCCTCCCGCTTCTATTTCTCGTCATTTCTTGCTATTCCGCCCGTTTACTCACCGGGGCATAAATTTTTCTTTTTTACTGGCCCGCACACATGTTCCCCATCACATTTCATTCGCCGGCGTGCCTCAGCATTTCTCAGCCCTCTTCCATTGATTTCAAGGTTTTTGGAGTTCTATACAGCGAACTTATTCAACCGGAATGATAAAATCGTGATAAGTTGTAACTAAAAAAATTTGAAAACTGTGAATAAAAATACGCTAAAAAATGCCGCCTTTTCTGGCAAATTCGAGGGCTGGCTGAACAAGCAAACGATTTGGCAGCCTGAAACCTGCGCGTTGCCAAAAAATCTGGTTTTAAACGTTTTAATTTGTTGTTCATTTTTGGCTAGACCTAATCGCTTAATAAAATAGTAGCCTTAAACACATTTCGTTTTTCTTCTTTGCCAAAAACTAGGGATATGAGAAATATTGACTTTCGGAACTTTTTTAAAGCCCTTAAGATATCGATTTTCTGATTATCAAGATTTTAGATGTTTGTTTTTGACAAAAACTCCAACAGGTAAATTTACGTTAATTTACTATTGGAGTAACTTTTGAACTCAAACTACCATTAGAGCCTCTAAAAGGGACCTCAAAAAGCGATCCTCGTGTTTTCCACAATTCCGATAACTGACTAACAAGCCCGATGAATCTTTCACAATAAACATATTGTTACCCCCGGAATTTGGCATTTCCATCCCCCCAACCCCACAACCTCTCGGATCGCTGACTAATCGGGTGGGGGAGCCCCACTCCCCCCTCCCCAACAGCCACATTCTTGTTTGTTTACCGAAAATGGTTTCTTTTCTCGGGCGGTATGCCCCGTTTTTCGCCTTTCTTTCCCTTCGGTATTCAAGGGCGTAGGAATGGGAAGGAGGGGCGGAAAAGATCGGCCCCCTTGGCTTGAGCGCCATGTCTCAACTAGCAACTCTCACTCCACTCACTCGCTCCCAGAGTATCCACAACAGACCCCAATAAAAATGGATAGTCACAAATACTTCTCGCGCACCGGGACCCATTTCTCGATCCCGGCCACGCACGCCCAAAACCGGCACCTATTAAATTGTTTTTTTTTGTTTGGGACAGGCCAGTCCCGGCTCCATTTTTGGGGGATACTGGATGCTTTCGCGGGGATTCGGGGAAAGCTCATTGTTTCAATTATTTGTGTCGTTTGCGGAGCCCTGCGGAATGTGGGTGCACCCGCAAACAGCGCTGGGAAATGCGCCCCATAAAATCAACAATTGTAAATGGTTCTGAACCGGAATGGAATTTCAGTTTCAGTTGATCACCTTGAAAATCACTTTTTTTTTCTCGCTGAGTACCGATTCCAGAAACCGTAACTTCTATATTCCCTGTTTTTGATATTTTCTAAAGTTTTTTTTAAAGTATTATCCTTTAATGAGGCTAATTTTTCAGAAATCATGGCCAACTACGGTCATTCGACCATCATTGATGGACATTTTTACCCCGAACAGTGAGCTTTATCGAAGTTTGGCTGCTAATTAGCTTTATCCATATATTTAAAACTACTACCATTACGCTAAAAATAAAAGCGAAAAATAGATTCGTTGCCGACATCCACCAAGCCATCCAAAGCGGTGATAAGGAAGCCGTCGTCGACCGATTGACCTCCATCTCCAACCGCCAGCGTCAACAGGTCTGTTCCGTACTTAGAAGCCTCTAACATGGCGATACATAAGAAATCATAAGATGCCTGATTCTCCCTTTAGCTCCGCGAGCTCTACTTCCACACCTACGACATCGAAGTCGACAAGGCTCTCGACAAGAAATTCTCCGGCGATTTGGGAACGGTATGGAAGTTTTGAAATCTTTTAAGTTGTGTCATTAAGCTCCTTCAAGCGCTCGTCGACACCCCGCTGGAGTATGACCTCAAACAGCTGAAAAAGTCGATGAAGGGACTTGGCACTGATGAGAATGCTCTCACTGAAATTATCGTCACCAGGACCCCGCAGCAGATGAAGTACATCAGGGAGGGATATGAAGAGCTTTTCAAGAAGAACCTTGCCAAGGTAGGCGCGGAGTCAGGACTTTAATGCAAGCAGATTATGCTGGCAGGACTTAAAATTGAATCCCATTTTTAGGAAATCGGGGGAGATACCTCTGGAGACTTCAAAGAAGCTTCTGATCGCTATCGTCAACGGAAGCAAGGACCAATCTTCGGTTGTTGACCGCGAGTTGGCTCACCAGGTAGAGAGCGATATCGAGAGGGAAAGAAGGAGAGAGTGAGAGAGTTAGCGATGGTGAGAGAGATAGAGCAAGTTTAGTATTGCTTCTAAACCCATGATCCTGGAGAAACTCTACCTTTAGGATGCCATCAGACTTGTTGCCGATGATGGAAAACTCAAGACCCCGCCAACGCTTTCTTGCAATGCTGTGAGACCCAGAACCTCTACCAACTCCGTGAGGTAGACCTGGAGAATGTCCAAACCAAGTGATTTCGATTCTTTAGCTCTTCGAGCGTCTCACCGACCTGTTGAAGAAGCCGGTGGAGCAGGCCGTCGACAAGGAGTTTAGCGGTGACAACAAGATTGGACTGCTTGCTGTTGTCCGGTAGGTTGTTCAAAAAAACAATACAATTTTCCGTTTAGCGCCACCCAAAACAAACAGCGGTACTTCGCCATGCAGATCCAGAACGCTGTCAAGGTAGAGGAAAGCTGAACTTTTAAAGGAATTGGTAAGGCAAAGCGAATGTTTATATTTCTAGGGATTCGGCGTGAAGGACAACGACTTGATCCGTGTGCTCGTCTCCCGATCGGAAGTTGATCTCAAGCACATCCGTGAGGAGTACTTCAAGCTGTATGGAAAGAAGCTGGAGGATGTCATCCAGGTATGATAATTCAACAGAAAACTAGTCAAACCTTAGGCCGAGACCAAGGGAGCCTACCGCGAGGGACTGCTGCGCATCCTCCGCGGAAACTATTAATTGTCATATATCACTTGTATGGAGAGAGATTTATATTTTTAATAAATTTTTGTATTCGATTCATGGTGGCAGAAAACGAACTATAAAAGCGAAAGAGAGAGGAGAGAGGGTGAGAGGTCGGGTTCGTATGCCTGTTACGTGTGTTTTCATCGCATTCCCGTGACCTTTAGAGGTTTCTGTTCACGATAAATCTTCCCACTTAATGGGTAGATGATCCATTTCTCGATTTCAGTACATTCCGTACAGTCGCTCATCGCGAAAATGTACTTCTTCATAGCGCTTCAAAGTATCAATCATGGAATCTAAACCCCCAGAAAGTGATAAAACACTGTGGGACACCGACTACGTTTTTTCAAACGAGTTCAACCAGTTCGAAAAATGTGCAAATTGCTCGGCAGAGATTACCCTGCGAAAATCGGGTGCCAACGACGTTTCTTTGATGTGAAAATGAGGGCCGCAAAATTTTTTTTGTTACAGAACTTACTGAGAATTCAGCACTCTGAATCCATTGCTCTTGCCTATCTGACGTCTATTTTAGGGCAGAATAACGCTAGCCGGCTGCCAAAAATTCCAATTTTACGTCTGAACGCACGGGCTTCGTCAGGCCGTCCTCTGCAATTTGTCATCGTCTCTGAGATTTGGATGGGCTCACATTGTGAATTCGCGAATTTGGAGCCGTCGTCTTCTGAATATTAGATAGGAATGCTGAACCACTATGCAAATCCGGCGTATTTGGAGGAGCTTTTTGTTTATCTGATGGTAAGTTTCGTATTTTAGTTAGTTAGTTTAGTTAGTTTCGTTTCGCTGGCAAATCACTTCCTTCTAAAAATCTATAAAGTCTTTATAGTCCATTTTAGCTTGGAGAGTTCTTCAATTTTTTCGTCCTATTGGCTTCATTCTTATTATTACGCCACTTTATAAAGCGCAAGAAGGTTTGAATCTTATATGTTCGGAGCTAAACGTCTTTTCTAGGTATTTCCGCGCAATTTTGTGTTACTCTTGCTATTTCAACCAGCTTGTGCCCTGATTTGTACTTTTACACGCAGTTTCAAACACATATTGATGATTTGCGGATTGAGATACTTGCCATTCCTTGATGCATTGGCTATTTTTAACGAATCTGGTGAGTGAAAATCGATATTTCGGTGCATAAATAGAAACTGGATATGGTGCAAAAATGCTGGCACCAGCGAAAGTCCCCATCGATCAAAATTATTAGGAGAGCCAAATTCCTCAATATAACAAAATTTTAAAACTATGTTTTCTAGTCGGCGGGGTAGCCCTCCATATGATGATCGGCTTCGCCATCGAGCGCTGGATTGCCAATAAGCATTTCACCGACTACGAAGTCTTATATGCAAATGTTCCGCTTGGATGGGCAATTGGACTGGGTCTGGTAATAAATAGCCTTAACCGGTCTGAAATGTACTTCCCCTTACCCAGCTTCTCGGAAACACCACCCTCACTTTAATCTACCATTCTGGATATGTATCGTTGGATTTGGTTTATAATGTCATCTATCTAGCCCATGGGATCACGATGGTGGTAGGATGTTTACAGAAATTCTTCAAAAATCCTTTTTAGTTTTTCATATGGTTCTACTTTTCGTGCCGTCGCCAGTATTTTGCAGTATATCAAAGGAGATATGCGACAGTAAATGATAGGTATGTTATGCTTATTACAGGATTTTATCAACTAGAAAACTTGAAGATCTCAAAGTTTTCAAGTTCAAAAAATGGTATTTTTCAAGTTCATCCCTATGATTTGAAGTGTCGGAACGCACATGTGCTTTTTTCTCAAGTGGTTCCAATTCGTTCGATCACAACCATCCACAAAAATGGCACGATTCTTCCAGACGTTTTGCCCCCAATTTCCTTGTTGTTGTTGCCCCGGTCCTTCCAGACATTGCAAGCGATCGATCACACCCTGATGTGCCGCCTTTTTGTGGTAGATGTGCTATGTGCAGGAGCGCCCCCGCCTTGAGTCATTCGTTGCCCAAAACTGGCTCTTTTCACGTCCTCACGTCACCGCCATCACCCCCACAGATATATCCAATTTCACGCCTTGTCGTTCAGATTTTCAAGCTCATTTGACAGCAATTGCAATGTCTTGCATCCCGATGTCGGCTGCAACGGTGCCCGAATCAAAAATTCATAAGGTAAGTTAAGAGGCGGAATACCTTAAATTACTTGAATTTACCATTATTTACTTAATGCTTAATCGAATTTAGTTATTTTTAATAAATAGACGAAATTAAAGTTGTATTCGTTAATTAGGAGCCTCGGATAGTGCGCTCCTTTCCAATTCTATAAGCTTTCCGCAAAACCTAATCTGCGTTTCCGCTAGCTCCAATAACACTCAAAACAATGTTTTGGCATGACAATGGCAGTACTAAAAATATCACAATTTATTTTTATTAGCTAGTTCAAAAGATTTCAATTACTGTATTTAGGTGAAAAACCACAAATTCGTGGCCCGCATGCTGCATCAACCCCATTTTTTGCGCCCACTGCAAGCAGTTCATCTACGGACTCGGAAAACAGGGCTATGAATGCATCGGTATTGCCTGTTTAATGTTATAATCTCTTAGAGTTTAGGCTGCCAGACCGTTGTCCACAAGCGCTGCCACGAATTCGTATATTGCGAGTGTGTCAAGGGCGATGCTGAAGAGGCAATACCATGTTTTTTTAGGATTTACCTCAAGTTCTAGGTTGATGCGGATGCCTTCGAGCCGAGCAACGACCAAGAAAATGTACCAAACGGAAGCGAGGACCCCAAAATACACGAGGTACAGCAAAAAAAGCTTGTTCTACTTGATTCTAACCCTTGATTTTCCCAGGTAAACGAGCACAAATTTGTGGCCAAGACCTTCCGCCAGCCGACGTTCTGCTCCCACTGCCGCGAGTTTATTTATGGCCTCGGAAAACAGGGCTATCAGTGTGTCGGTGGGTTTTTGAGCATTGAAAATAAAAACAACGCTTTTATAAAAGTTAATTTTTCGTAAATTCCCTAATTTTAGGTTGCCGAACCTCTGTCCACAAGAAATGCCATCAAGACGTTGTCTATTCTTGTCGGAGCGTCGAAACTGATAAATAAAACCATTATTAGTTCGGATAAATTAATTTTATAAGCTTACGACGTTGATAATTCTGAACAATATGTTCAAAGTCTTTATTAATACCAAATACCAAATATTGCTTAATTGATACAAATACATATTCATTTTGAAAAGACCTTTCAAAAACGATTTCCGGATTCCGCTTCTAATCGTTTATTTTGCCCAAACCCAACCTTCACGTCAAAAATAATCAACCTCACAAACTCACGGGGACCTCACCAAATTCGATCTGACACTTTCGGGGTTAAAAATCGGCGATTCCGGAGAAGAACCCGGCCAAGAGACCAAAAGACTCCCGTTTTTTTCGGGCGACATCGACGTAAACACACGCCCGGCAATTTGGGTTGAGCACCCACTTTTCCGGCCATCCCGATTGAAAATTCGCGCTCCCCTTGACCGGGGCGAGTCGGAAATAGAACGCTAGGGGAGTGGGCATCGGCATTCCGGCCTGAATTTTCGCGAATAGTTTCCGGCGTTAAAATAAGGCTAGGTTTAATAATTATTGCTTTACGACTTAGTTTAAGACGAATTATACCTAAGCAACGCATTTTTTTCACGGAAAACACATGAAGCTGCCAAAGGCCTCTAAAATCCCGATCCTATTTTTATCCGACATCCAAATGAACAAATTTTCGCTCCTCCCCATTTCTTCCCAGAGGATCGCATTACATTTGACTTTATTTACCGGGGTCCCTGTCTTTCTCTCAAACACCAAATCGGCTTTTTTTTGTTCATTTCTTCCGAAACCATCTATTTTGAAGCATGCCCGTTAACGGCCAGGATAACGTTCAAGCGGCCGCTAGATCCAGGAAGATTCATGAGGTAGGGAAAAACTAATATGAAAAGTATAAGGTGTTCTAGGTGAAGCAGCACAAATTTGTCGCTCGTCTGCTGCGTCAACCCACTTTCTGCTCTCACTGCAAGGGCTTTATCTTTGGATTTGGCAAGCAGGGATATCAGTGTTTGGGTGAGTAAAATATTCTTTTTAGTAGATTGCTGCTTCGCCGGCTCTCTCAAAAAATGGTGAATTTGATTGTTTTCAGGTTGTGAAGCCGTTGTGCACAAGCGCTGCCACGACAAGGTGAGCTGCAAGTGCAGCAAAGCGGATGAGCCGGAAGCCGAGGAACAGGTTTGAAAATATTTTTGTGAGTTAGTACAGCATCGTAAATAATATCGAGATATAAGGTTTTATGAATTCTAGGGCGCACTCAGCGAAGGAAATGAGGCCCCACACGTCTTCGCCGCCCGCACCTTTCACAAACCGACATTTTGCGATCACTGCGGATCTCTACTCTACGGTCTGGTCCGCCAAGGGATGCAGTGCAACTCTTGTCACTCTAACGTGCACAAGCGGTACGATCTTACGGCTAACTACAGACTATGATACACCGTTTAGCTGCCACGAGAATGCAGCGCACAACTGTGGCATGGAGCCGATTGCAGCGTAAAACCGAATGGAATCGTATCTTAATAAGCTTAATTTCTTCACGATTGTTCACAATAAATCGTAGAAATTTAGTATATTACAATACAAAAGCCGACAGTTATTAAAAACTCCGGAAAACGTGTTAAAAATACCGACAAGCTTATTTTCGGACCACCAGGTATCTATTTTTAGCTCACCCACACGCTCCGCTAAAAATCACAGCTCATTTTTCACGCCTCCAGCGGCTTACGAAACACGCGCACCCAAATCGGCAAACTTTAAAGCGTACCTGTGAGTCAGCAAAAAGACAGGGAGCTTCTCGGTTGTTGTACCCACCGGAAATAGTCACACACCCAATCGGATTACGCCGCCTTGACCGTCTTCTATTTGCTTTCTTATCCCCTTTTGTCGCCCGTGTGTGCAACAATCATATTTTCGAGTGTTATAAGGGGGTGATAAGGGGCTGGGAGTGTGTCATTTTCCAGGTGTGATGGTTTTCAGAGTTTTTCGTAGCGATTTGGGGTGTTTTATTCATGTAATCTTGTGCAATTTTTGATCTTTTTATTCACCTGTAATTTTTATTAATCATACTACAAACTTTCTAATCTGAATTTATTGTTTTGAGTCGGTGTTTAGGAGGTTTTCGAGCGCTCAAACCCCTAAAAATTGAGTGGTGCTGACTATTTTTGATGCTGGAACATTTTTATAGTATAGGTATGCACGGCATCGATCACGATCCTTTTGTGAGCTGCCCAAAGTCCTAAAAAATCACCGCTAGCCTGCCTTTTGAGGTTGTATCTATTTCAATGGGATAGGCAGCATAAATCGTATTAAAAGTTAAAAAAACGCCTCAAATGTACATTGCAAATGATCTCTGCTAGCTGACCTTCCAACCCCAGAAAAATTACCTCATTATCACCGACAACATTTTCCCTTCCGCCCCGCAAATATGCCATTCGAATACCTATAAGCCCATTCCCGAAATGAGATGTGTTTTGCGGGGGGCCGACTAATGTCAAAAGGTCACAGGTCCATTACCACCCCCGGGCCATTTTCCATGCATTCCAGCCATTCAACACCCACTCCTCTCTCATCCCAATGTTATTAGCCGGCCCTCAGAAACACGATGGCTTCATCGCCTCCCAGTGGCCTTCATTTGGGCGAATTCGGGGTATCATGAAGCCCCCAGTAATTTTCTAAACGTTCAGCTGGCTAGAAATTTCGATTCTTCAAGACAGCTGGGATTGAAAACTGACCTTTCCGCCTGAAACCTGGTATTTTATTCTCAGGCTTCTTCAAGGCGTTCGCGTGGGCGGGCATAATTTTATTAGAGCGCCAAAATTTTTAATCCCATTAAATTTCATACGAAAGTCGGATGCGCGAAAGGTATAAATTAATCGAATCTGCCCGCACCGCCTCCATTGCGCCTTTGAGGCCGTAAAATTCGGCTTGAAATAACTTATTTCGTATTTATTTTCTCCCATCTTTGCATTTTTGATCCGTCTAGATCATCTGAAAAGTCACGTTATGCAAAAATTTCAGCTCCAATCACCCAACCTCAACTACGCTACCAAAATGAATCAGCTCTTGAAAAGCCAGGAAAACGTTGACGACAAAACAATTCATGTCGTAAGTGTTTAATCGTTGAGTTATAATTTCAAATCTAGGTCAAAAAGCACCAATTTGTCGTGCGCACCCTGCGCCAGCCGCACTTCTGCGCCTACTGTAAAAGCTTCATCTACGGGTTGTCGAAACAAGCCTGTGAATGTTTAGGTAATCTTGTGCTTTTGAAGCATTTTTGAAGTTTTAGGATGCCATACGGTAGTCCACAAAAAATGCCATCGAATGGTGCTGGCCGATTGCCTGGCGGAAAAACAGGTATGGTGAAACAAAAGATATGGCAGTCAGGGTTTTAGAAAACTATCGAGCCGACTCCTAAAAACCCGGAAAATGAGCAAGAAATTCTAAAAAGCGTCAAACCGAAGACTGCAAAAATTCATCAGGTATTTTTGCGTAATTAGTCGCCTTTTGTTAATCCACAATTTTCCTTTTTTTAATTAACTTACCTAATTCAGATCAACAACCACAAATTTGTGGCCAGGATCTTTCGCCAGCCGACGTTTTGTTCGCACTGCCGCGAATTTATTTTCGGGATTGGCAAGCAGGGTTATCAGTGCCTTTGTGAGTTTTGCATTTTTATCAGAGCGCGATCTTCTTGAGTTTTTATTCACCGTTTAATATCGTTTGTTTAGGCTGCCGCGCCGTCGTCCACAAACGCTGCCACGAGAACGTCATCCACCATTGCCGGCGGGCAGCCGAAGCCGCCTAAAAGTATGAGGAAGCCTTGAAACACTGTATTTGCATAAATAATGATGAATTAATAATTTTTCATCATAATTTCGGATTGTTTTTCGCCTTCCGAGATGTTTAATAGTGTTCCGCGACGGCTTTTCCGGATCAAAATTGAATTCCTGACAAACCCGGAATTCCAGTAACCGCCCGAAATATCACACACGGCCTTGCTATCAAATCGCCAGAAAATCAGGAAATAAGCACATCCGGGAAACAGAGCGACCGAGCTTGACCTTCCGCCGGCAGCACTCATCTCTGCCGGCAGGAAATCCCGAACCCCGCGCGCTCATCCCGAACGTTTTTCCGCGTTTGCGGCCTTGACGAGGCGCCAAGAATTTGTCAAAAGCTCTCGCGCCCCGTTTTTGGGATAGTTTTTACATAGAGACTGTAAAATATCAGATTTGGCATTAAAAAAGGAAACGTGGAGGTCGGCAACTGGCATAGGCCTGAAATGGCAGCGCCAATCGCTAATAATTTGCGAATCAGCCGATTTTAAGACGGTTAAACCAGGTCACAATTTATGATCACACTGTTACAAAATAACGAAAAACCTCCGGGGGGTTTTGGAAAATTGCGTTTTTTTTTTTTGGGGTTACCAAAAAATTGTTGTTGTGGTTTTTTTTTTTTAGAAGGAAAAATGTTTAAAGGGGGGAAAAAATAAAAGGTAAAGGGGTTAAAATTTAGATCTTCGAGTTAAAACTGATGTTTTGACTCAAGAGAAACTACCAATCTGTTGCTTACAAGTGCCGCCTTACAGTTTGTTTACCTGTTTCGCCCCAGTCCCAAATAGCTTTTCGCATATTTTCCTATTTTTCTATTTGCCCCAACAAATTTCGAAGCATTCGTTCCCCACATCCACAAATTGTTGTTTATCCCTCGACACCTTCTTGGTGGCCCCAACGAGCCTCGATGCTCCACCCGAAAATACGATTCTCTCCCGCTTCTATTTCTCGTCATTTCTTGCTATTCCGCCCGTTCACTCACGGGGGAATAAATTTTTCTTTTTTACTGGCCCGGACACATGTTCCCCATCACATTTCATTCGCCGGCGTGCCTCTGCATTTCTCAGCCCTCTTCCATTGATTTCAAGATTTTTGAAGTTCTATACAGCGAACTTATTCAACCGGAATGATAAAATCGTGATAAGTTGTAACTAAAAAAATTTGAAAACTGTGAATAAAAATACGCTAAAAAATGCCGCCTTTTCTGGCAAATTCGAGGGCTGGCTGAACAAGCAAACGATTTGGCAGCCTGAAACCTGCGAGTTGCCGAAAAACCTGGTTTTAAACGTTTTAATTTGTTGTTCATTTTTGGCAAGACCTAATCGCTTAATAAAATAGTAGCCTTAAACACATTTCGTTTTTCTTCTTTGCCAAAAACTAGGGATATGCGAAACCTTGACTTTCGGAACTTTTTTAAAGCCCTTAAGATATCGATTTTCTGATTATCAAGATTTTAGATGTTTGTTTTTGACAAAAACTCCAACAGGTAAAATTACGTTAATTTACTATTGGAGTAACTTTTGAACTCAAACTACCATTAGAGCCTCTAAAAGGGACCTCAAAAAGCGATCCTCGTGTTTTCCACAATTCCGATATCTGACTAACAAGCCCGATGAATCTTTCACAATAAACATATTGTTACCCCCGGAATTTGGCATTTCCATCCTCCTCAACCCCACAACCCCTCGGATCGCTGACTAATCGGTTGGGGAGCCCCACTCCCCCCTCCCCAACAGCCACATTCTTGTTTGTTTACCGAAAATGGTTTCTTTTCTCGGGCGGTATGCCCCGTTTTTCGCCCTTTTCTTTCCTTCGGTATTCAAGGGCGTAGGAATGGGAAGGAGGGGCGGAAAAGATCGGCCCCCTTGGCTTGAGCGCCATGTCTCAACTAGCAACTCTCACTCCACTCACTCGCTCCCAGAGTAGCCACAACAGACCCCAATAAAAATGGATAGTCACAAATACCTCTCGCGCACCGGGACCCATTTCTCGATCTCGACCACGCACGCCCAAAACCGGCACCTATTAAATTGTTTTTTTTTGTTTGGGGCAGGCCAGTCCCGGCTCCATTTTTGGGGGATACTGGATGCTTTCGCGGGGATTCGGGGAAAGCTCATTGTTTCAATTATTTGTGTCGTTTGCGGAGCCCTGCGGAATGTGGGTGCACCCGCAAACAGCGCTGGGAAATGCGCCCCATAAAATCAACAATTGTAAATGGTTCTGAACCGGAATGGAATTTCAGTTTCAGTTGATCACCTTGAAAATCACTTTTTTTTCTCGCTGAGTACCGATTCCAGAAACCGTAACTTCTATATTCCCTGTTTTTGATATTTTCTAAAGTTTTTTTTAAAGTATTATCCTTTAATGAGGCTAATTTTTCAGAAATCATGGCCAACTACGGTCATTCGACCATCATTGATGGACATTTTTACCCCGAACAGTGAGCTTTATCGAAGTTTGGCTGCTAATTAGCTTTATCCATATATTTAAAACTACTACCATTACGCTAAAAATAAAAAGCGAAAAAATAGATTCGTTGCCGACATCCACCAAGCCATCCAAAGCGGTGATAAGGAAGCCGTCGTCGACCGATTGACCTCCATCTCCAACCGCCAGCGTCAACAGGTCTGTTCCGTACTTAGAAGCCTCTAACATGGCGATACATAAAAGAAATCATAAGATGCCTGATTCTCCCTTTAGCTCCGCGAGCTCTACTTCCACACCTACGACATCGAAGTCGACAAGGCTCTCGACAAGAAATTCTCCGGCGATTTGGGAACGGTATGGAAGTTTTGAAATCTTTTAAGTTGTGTCATTAAGCTCCTTCAAGCGCTCGTCGACACCCCGCTGGAGTATGACCTCAAACAGCTGAAAAAGTCGATGAAGGGACTTGGCACTGATGAGAATGCCCTCACTGAAATTATCGTCACCAGGACCCCGCAGCAGATGAAGTACATCAGGGAGGGATATGAAGAGCTTTTCAAGAAGAATCTTGCCAAGGTAGGCGCGGAGTCAGGACTTTAATGCAAGCAGATTATGCTGGCAGGACTTAAAATTGAATCCCATTTTTAGGAAATCGGGGGGAGATACCTCTGGAGACTTCAAGAAGCTTCTGATCGCTATCGTCAACGGAAGCAAGGACCAATCTTCGGTTGTTGACCGCGAGTTGGCTCACCAGGTAGAGAGCGATATCGAGAGGGAAAGAAGGAGAGAGTGAGAGAGTTAGCGATAGTGAGAGAGATAGAGCAAGTTTAGTATTGCTTCTAAACCCATGATCCTGGAGAAACTCTACCTTTAGGATGCCATCAGACTTGTTGCCGATGATGGAAAACTCAAGACCCCCGCCAACGCTTTCTTGCAATGCTGTGAGACCCAGAACCTCTACCAACTCCGTGAGGTAGACCTGGAGAATGTCCAAACCAAGTGATTTCGATTCTTTAGCTCTTCGAGCGTCTCACCGACCTGTTGAAGAAGCCGGTGGAGCAGGCCGTCGACAAGGAGTTTAGCGGTGACAACAAGATTGGACTGCTTGCTGTTGTCCGGTAGGTTGTTCAAAAAAACAATACAATTTTCCGTTTAGCGCCACCCAAAACAAACAGCGGTACTTCGCCATGCAGATCCAGAACGCTGTCAAGGTAGAGGAAAGTTGAACTTTTAAAGGAATTGGTAAGGCAAAGCGAATGTTTATATTTCTAGGGATTCGGCGTGAAGGACAACGACTTGATCCGTGTGCTCGTCTCCCGATCGGAAGTTGATCTCAAGCACATCCGTGAGGAGTACTTCAAGCTGTATGGAAAGAAGCTGGAGGATGTCATCCAGGTAGGATAATTCAACAGAAAACTAGTCAATCCTTAGGCCGAGACCAAGGGAGCCTACCGCGAGGGACTGCTGCGCATCCTCCGCGGAAACTATTAATTGTCATATATCACTTGTATGGAGAGAGATTTATATTTTTAATAAATTTTTGTATTCGATTCATGGTGGCAGAAAACGAACTATAAAAGCGAAAGAGAGAGGAGAGAGGGTGAGAGATCGGGTTCAATTCCTGTTACGTGTGTTTTCATCGCATTCCCGTGACCTTTAGAGGTTTCTGTTCACGATAAATCTTCCCACTTAATGGGTAGATGATCCATTTCTCGATTTCAGTACATTCCGTACAGTCGCTCATCGCGAAAATGTACTTCTTCATAGCGCTTCAAAGTATCAATCATGGAATCTAAACCCCCAGAAAGTGATAAAACACTGTGGGACACCGACTACGTTTTTTCAAACAAGTTCAACCAGTTCGAAAAATGTGCAAATTGCTCGGCAGAGATTACCCTGCGAAAATCGGGTGCCAACGACGTTTCTTTGATGTGAAAATGAGGACCGCAAAATTTTTTTGTTACAGAACTTACTGAGAATTCAGCACTCTGAATCCATTGCTCTTGCCTATCTGACGTCTATTTTAGGGCAGAACAACGCTAGCCGGCTGCCAAAAATTCCAATTTTACGTCTGAACGCACGGGCTTCGTCAGGCCGTCCTCTGCAATTTGTCATCGTCTCTGAGATTTGGATGGGCTCACATTGTGAATTCGCGAATTTGGAGCCGTCGTCTTCTGAATATTAGATAGGAATGCTGAACCACTATGCAAATCCGGCGTATTTGGAGGAGGTTTTTGTTTATCTGATGGTAAGTTTCGTATTTTAGTTAGTTAGTTTAGTTAGTTTCGTTTCGCTGGCAAATCACTTCCTTCTAAAAATCTATAAAGTCTTTATAGTCCATTTTAGCTTGGAGAGTTCTTGAATTTTTTCGTCCTATTGGCTTCATTCTTATTATTACGCCACTTTATAAAGCGCAAAAAGGTTTGGATCTTATATGTTCGTAGCTAAACGTCTTTTCTAGGTATTTCCGCGCAATTTTGTGTTACTCTTGCTATTTCAACCAGCTTGTGCCCTGATTTGTACTTTTACACGCAGTTTCAAACACATATTGATGATTTGCGGATTGAGATACTTGCCATTCCTTGATGCATTGGCTATTTTTAACGAATCTGGTGAGTGAAAATCGATATTTCGGTGCATAAATAGAAACTGGATATGGTGCAAAAATGCTGGCACCAGCGAAATTCCCCATCGATCAAAATTATTAGGAGAGCCAAATTCCTCAATATAACAAAATTTTAAAACTATGTTTTCTAGTCGGCGGGGTAGCCCTCCATATGATGATCGGCTTCGCCATCGAGCGCTGGATTGCCAATAAGCATTTCACCGACTACGAAGTCTTATATGCAAATGTTCCGCTTGGATGGGCAATTGGACTGGGCCTGGTAATAGCCTTAACCGATCTAAAAGGTACTTCCTCTTACCCAGCTTCTCGGAAACACCACCCTCACTTTAATCTACCATTCTGGATATGTATCGTTGGATTTGGTTTATAATGTCATCTATCTAGCCCATGGGATCACGATGGTGGTAGGATGTTTGCAGAAATTCTTCAAAAATCCTTTTTAGTTTTTCATATGGTTCTACTTTTCGTGCCGTCGCCAGTATTTTGCAGTATATCAAAGGAGATATGCGACAGTAAATGATAGGTATGTTATGCTTATTACAGGATTTTTTATATTTTATAGATACCAAACAATAGCAAATTATAAAACCTCGCGACTTCTGCTTCTCATTGCACCTTTTAAATGCTTGACGGCCGTATCTTTGATAGTATTTCATGAAAAGTTAATTAACGATTTGGGTCCCTATTATGCCGACTTTTTCACATATTTGTTTTACTATTCGATGGAGGCGCAGGTTTGTTATGAAAGGAAAATTGTACGAAGAATTTAGTTAATCGCCCAAATCTGGATGGTAATTCTGATTCAGCCGGATTTGAGGAAAGAGTTGACTAGCTTTTTCGTTCATCGGGTGGGTATTTTAATTTTGTTTTTGAGCAGGTTTTGGATCTTTCAAAATAGAGAAATTGATGTTTTATCGATAGTATCAAACTAAAATGACTTCAATCTTTAAAAACTATTGTTAAGATCGCTACAGAGCAATCAATCCGGAACATCCACGGCAAGAAACTGGCCTATACAAATCGAGAAGAGTCTCAGATGTACTTTAAACAGTTGAAAACCATGTGGTCGTAATAAAGTGCCTATTTCATGGTATACAAAGTGATTTCGGTAAATACCCTCTGCGCATGAGCTGGAGCAGCACCTAATCTATCTACTATAATAATTTTGCTGAGGTGTCCGTCTGTCTGTGTGTGTGAAGCCGAATTCAACTCGAAGGGGAAAGGAGCTAGAGCTTAGCTCTCTTCGGATTCGGATAGAGCGTGGTCAGAAACCCCCAAACTGATAAAAAAATTACGAAAAAGTTTTAGTTTAAATTATTAAAATTAACTTTGAAAGTTTTTTCCTTAGTAAAAGGGGTGGGGGACGGAGGTTGGGGTGATTTTGGACATAGTGAGCCAGGTCGCGCGCGTTTCGTGGATGAAAATTTTCACGGGGGATTTCATTTCTTTTTTTCTCTCATTCCATCCGGTCGGTCGTTATTTTTGTTTTTGAAGGGGATTTCGGCTAGGGGAGGTATCTGAAGCCATCAGGAAGGTATGTAGGTAGTTTTTGAAGGGGATTTCAGCCATGGGGGGTATATAAAGCCATCAGGAAGGGTATGTAGGTAGTTTTTGAAGGGGATTTCGGCTAGGGAGGTATCTGAAGCCATCAGGAAGGTATTTAGGTAGTTTTGAAGGGGATTTCGGCTAGGGGAGGTATCTGAAGCCATCAGAAGGTATTTAGGTAGTTTTTGAAGGGGATTTCAGCCATGGGGGGGGTATATAAAGCCATCAGGAAGGTATGTAGGTAGTTTTTGAAGGGGATTTCGGCTAGGGGAGGTATCTGAAGCCATCAGGAAGGTATTTAGGTAGTTTTGAAGGGATTTCAGCCATGGGGTATCTGAAGCCATCAGGAAGGTATTTAGGTAGTTTTTGAAGGGGATTTCCAGCCATGGGGGTATCTGAAGCCATCAGGAAGGTATTTAGGTAGTTTTTGAAGGGGATTTCAGCCATGGGGGTATCTGAAGCCATCAGGAAGGTATTTAGGTAGTTTTTGAAGGGGATTTTCGGCTAGGGGAGGTATCTGAAGCCATCAGGAAGGTATTTAGGTAGTTTTTGAAGGGGGTTTCAGCCATGGGGGGTATCTGAAGCCATCAGGAAGGTATTTAGGTAGTTTTTGAAGGGGATTTCAGCCATGGGGGGTATCTGAAGCCATCAGGAAGGTATTTAGGTAGTTTTTGAAGGGGATTTCGGCTGGGGAGGTATCTGAAGCCATCAGGAAGGTATTTAGGTAGTTTTTGAAGGGATTTCAGCCATGGGGGGTATCTGAAGCCATCAGGAAGGTATTTAGGTAGTTTTTGAAGGGGATTTCGGCTAGGGGAGGTATCTGAAGCCATCAGGAAGGTATTTAGGTAGTTTTTGAAGGGGATTTCAGCCATGGGGGGTATCTGAAGCCATCAGGAAGGTATTTAGGTAGTTTTTGAAGGGGATTTCGGCTAGGGAGGTATCTGAAGCCATCAGGAAGGTATTTAGGTAGTTTTTGAAGGGGATTTCGGCTATGGGGAGGTATCTGAAGCCATCAGGAAGGTATTTAGGTAGTTTTTGAAGGGGATTTCGGCTAGGGGAGGTATCTGAAGCCATCAGGAAGGTATTTAGGTAGTTTTTGAAGGGGATTTCGGCTAGGGGAGGTATCTGAGCCATCAGGAAGGTATTTAGGTAGTTTTTGAAGGATTTCGGCTAGGGAGGTATCTGAAGCCATCAGGAAGGTATTTAGGTAGTTTTTTTGAAGGGGATTTCGGCTGGGGGAGGTATCTGAAGCCATCAGGAAGGTATTTAGGTAGTTTTTGAAGGGGATTTCGGCTAGGGGAGGTATCTGAAGCCATCAGGAAGGTATTTAGGTAGTTTTTGAAGGGGATTTCAGCCATGGGGGGTATCTGAAGCCATCAGGAAGGTATTTAGGTAGTTTTTGAAGGGGATTTCAGCCATGGGGGTATCTGAAGCCATCAGGAAGGTATTTAGGTAGTTTTTGAAGGGGATTTCAGCCATGGGGGGTATCTGAGCCATCAGGAAGGTATTTAGGTAGTTTTTGAAGGGGATTTCAGCCATGGGGTATCTGAGCCATCAGGAAGGTATTTAGGTAGTTTTGAAGGGGATTTCGGCTAGGGGAGGTATCTGAAGCCATCAGGAAGGTATTTAGGTAGTTTTTGAAGGGGATTTCCAGCCATGGGGGTATCTGAAGCCATCAGGAAGGTATTTAGGTAGTTTTGAAGGGGATTTCGGCTGGGGAGGTATCTGAAGCCATCAGGGAAGGTATTTAGGTAGTTTTTGAAGGGGATTTCGGCTGGGGAGGTATCTGAAGCCATCAGGAAGGTATTTAGGTAGTTTTTGAAGGGGATTTCGGCTAGGGAGGTATCTGAAGCCATCGGGAAGGTATTTAGGTAGTTTTGAAGGGATTTCGGCTAGGGGAGGTATCTGAAGCCATCAGGAAGGTATTTAGGTAGTTTTGAAGGGGATTTCGGCTAGGGAGGTATCTGAAGCCATCAGGAAGGTATTTAGGTAGTTTTGAAGGGATTTCGGCTGGGGAGGTATCTGAAGCCATCAGGAAGGTATTTAGGGTAGTTTTTGAAGGATTTCGGCTAGGGAGGTATCTGAAGCCATCAGGAAGGTATTTAGGTAGTTTTTGAAGGGGATTTCAGCCATGGGGGTATCTGAAGCCATCAGGGAAGGTATTTAGGTAGTTTTTGAAGGGGATTTCAGCCATGGGGGGTATCTGAAGCCATCAGGAAGGTATTTAGGTAGTTTTTGAAGGGGATTTCAGCCATGGGGGGTATCTGAAGCCATCAGGAAGGTATTTAGGTAGTTTTTGAAGGGGATTTCAGCCATG